TTGAGTCACTCTGTTTTCTTCTGACGCCACTACACATTCATAGGTGGATCAATAGGCAGAGGAAGGTGCACATGTTAGGTGAAGGTGTACACATGGTAGATGAAGGTGTACACACGGTAGATGAAGGTGTACACACGGTAGGTGAAGGTGTACAAACGGTAGGTGAAGGTGTACACACGGCAGTTGAAGGTGTACACAAGGTAGGTGAAGGTGTACAAACGGTAGATGAAGGTGTACACACGTTAAGTGAAGGTATACACAGCTCATGGTATAAGGTCACATCGCTCCTGGTACAGGGTCATACAGCTTCATATAAGGGGTCACACAGCTTCTTGTATTGGGTCATACAGCTCCATGTATTGGGTCACACAGCTCCATGTATGGGGTCACACAGCTCCATGTATTGGGTCACACAGCTCCATGTATTGGGTCACACAGCTCCATGTATTGGGTCACACAGCTCCATGTGTAGGGTCACACAGCTCCATGTATGGGTCACACAGCTCCATGTGTAGGGTCACACAGCTCCAAGTATGGGGTCACACAGCTCCATGTATGGGGTCACACAGCTCCATGTATTGGGTCACACAGCTCCATGTATTGGGTCACACAGCTCCATGTATGGGGCACCACAGCTCCTGTTATATATGCGCGCCGGTACACAACCAACAGCGCATGTTGACACCGCAAGTCGAGCCAGCCGTGTGACGTCACACGGGCCCCAAACATGCAGCCGTTGAGTGGGGACAATCAAACACATTCAGATAGCCATGACGGCCTACGGGACAAGCGCTGACTGTCTGACCCTCACGGTCCCGTGTTGCATAAGGCCGGCCATTGTGGCGGCCAGGTAATTTTGTACACCCCCAATAGACAGGCAGTCAAGCATGCCAGATTGTACATGAATAGTTGCTCGGGGTTGCCTGAATGCGAGTGAATTAATATAATGACTGGTTGAAAACCTTGCAGAAAAGAAGCGAAACAACAACTAGGCTAAAAGCATCTCGCTATGTAATTTTTCTATCGGCTGAATGGTAGTCATGTTACATAATTTGAACCGTATTTTGTATCCATGTTCAAATCATGAAGTAAAAATACAAATTTGTCTCATGAAAAAAAACAATCTTTTACAAATCAAATATTTCTGTCAGCAAACAAGAATATCTTATCAAATACACAACTTTCAATGACGTCATACTTATATTAAAACTGGTCACCTGAATGACAGAACAATAACTCTCCAGCCAATGAAATCATTCGAGAGGAACAGAAATAGACGTATCACGTGTAACATAACAGAATTTTTTATTTAAAAAAAAATTATCACAAATGCTGAGCATAACCTTTTCAGTAACCCAGTGAATGTTATCTAACGTCCAAATCTGGTGTACTTGAGTCCTTAATAATTGAGTGATTTTCAAGTGGGATTTTTTTTTACTACGTGTTGTAAAATCAATATTTTATGTGTAGCCTAAATTAAACTGTAGTGTTAAGTAGAATTTTGGCGGATTGATTTAAATTATGTAGGCCTATTGGTAAGGATTACATTTAGAATGTTTTAATTTGTCTTGCGCCAAGCCTAGATGAACGAAAATTATAAAATAAACTATACCATTAACGGTTGTTCTTCGTTTAGTTTTCTTAATCAAAACGTCAGAAACAAGGTCAGTACTGAGATATGCTTTACACATTGACGTGGCTAAAAATATCAATCTGTGAAACCATTATAACGTGAGGCTTTTTCCCAATGCCACTGTGTAATTAACGTGTACACGTGTACACATTAAAATAATGCGTATTGTAGGTTCACGAGATGCCTTGGTCTTCAGCCTAACCCTTAACCTAACGTATTGTGCAGCTAACGGCAATCAATAAAAAAAACTGCTGTGAAAATATTATCACACTCCCAATGCAATAACTCATTCATGAAGCATGAATGGTACGGATATTCCAACCCTAACTCAAACCTCCAATTGAAACAAACTAGATACACTACACAGCATGAATGGTACGGATATTCCAACCCTAACTCAAACCTCCAATTGAAACAAACTAGATACACTACACAGCATGAATGGTACGGATATTTCAACCCCAACTCAAACCTCCAATTGAAACAAATTAGATACACTACACAGCATACGCGGTACTGATTTCAGCTCAAACTAGCTCCAGTAATCCCCCCCCCCCCCACTGTACAGAGAAATAAACCCAACCCTGTACAGAGAAATAAACCCCATCCTGTAGAGAGATATAAACCCAACCCTGTAGAGAGAAATAAACCCCACCCTGTAGAGAGAAATAAACCCCACCCTGTAGAGAGAAATAAACCCAACCCTGTAGAGAGAAATAAACCCAACCCTGTAGAGAGAAATAAACCCCATCCTGTAGAGAGAAATAAACCCCACCCTGTAGAGAGAAATAAACCCCATCCTGTAGAGAGATATAAACCCAACCCTGTAGAGAGAAATAAACCCCACCCTGTAGAGAGAAATAAACCCCACCCTGTAGAGAGAAATAAACCCCACCCTGTAGAGAGAAATAAACCCAACCCTGTAGAGAGAAATAAACCCCACCCTGTAGAGAGAAATAAACCCAACCCTGTAGAGAGAAATAAACCCCACCCTGTAGAGAGAAATAAACCCAACCCTGTAGAGAGAAATAAACCCAACCCTGTAGAGAGAAATAAACCCCACCCTGTAGAGAGAAATAAACCCAACCCTGTAGAGAGAAATAAACCCCACCCTGTAGAGAGAAATAAACCCAACCCTGTAGAGAGAAATAAACCCCACCCTGTAGAGAGAAATAAACCCCACCCTGTAGAGAGAAATGAGCCTCACAACGAGAAGAGAAAGAGAGGTGTGAAACTGATGAGCAAGGGGAGAGAAACAAACACCAAAATGAATGGTGTCCACCCGGAAGTCCTGACACCTTCTCATCAGGACGGCAGGCACCCCTCCCCCCCCCCTACCCCCACATTACAGGAAGTGGGTGACAAACCGCAGCCTCAAAAAACAACGGATACCCCAGCGTCTTTTGTTACCTTGGGTCAAAGTTCAACGAGATTTGGTGACCTCCTAGCTGTGAATAATCGCAAGTTACCGGCATATTCCGGTACACCACACTCTCCCACGGGCGTAGACCATTCATTCAAGTTTGGCGATGAAATCCCTTTTTACCGGTGAATAAAGCTGATTACAGCACAAGGACACAAAACATTAAAGAGACCTCTCGTCCTACTGTGTTCATGATATATTTAGTCGGTGGATATGATTTTGTTGTCCTTAAATTGTTAGCCTAATAATCCTAATAATATAAAAAAATATATATGTATATAGGCTTATATATACATACATACATATATATATATATATATATATATATATATATATATATATATATATATATATATGAACTGGTAATCAGAGGTTAATTTTGAAATGTAATACAATGAGCCGACAAAGATTGTCTTAAAACCCCATCTAACTTAACTCGCTTATTATTAGCGTGACAACAGAAAAGCGTTCATCTTTTCCCCTGTGAAGTCCTACAGATTTCCCACGCATGCTTGGTTAAATGTGTCCCAATTTTGGAAGTCACTGACAGGATGACCTGGCCAAGCTGAGCCGTCCATTCAACTTCCGGTACACAGTTGACACCAAAAGGACTGATTACGTCACTACAGTATTTGAATGTGTTCATAACTACACTAACTTGAAAAAAAAATAGCATGTTTAAAATCGTTGAATGTGTTCATACCTGTTTGAAAACGAAATGTAAACTTGTATACAATAGATCCGAGGAAGGCACGCGGAGAGAAGGGGATTCTTCAACAATAATAAAAAAAATGTTGTCCTATAGCTAGTGCATTAATCGACCGAACCTTATTCAACCCGTAGTAACACAATCGCTAAGCACCCCCATCCACACCCCCCCCCCTCATCCCTAGTTAAAATCTTCATGTTTAACTCAAAAAACGCCTTTTATTACATAACGTCTTCATGCAAACAGCCACGGCGGTTGACGAATGAAAATCTCGCTTTCAACAGCACCAATGTTTGTATACCTATTGTAGTGGGCCGTGGCAAATAACACAGATTAACGTGACACACAACATTAGGTGACACGTGATCCTGGGCCAACAGCACGCTGCCCCATTAACTTATCAATTATATGCTTGATTTTTTGTACACTCAGGACCGATAACTACCGATGTAAGCGGGTTGTCGTTCTTGTTCGCACCATATGACACGTTGTAGATTGTTGGCCTACAAGCCTCAACTTCCGGTAAAGGACACTAGAAATATTAGGTTTTGGTGCTCAACGCACCTGCTCCAAAATACCTGCTGAAACCTAAGTAACTTAAAAAAAATATATAATACACTGTGTGCTTTTAAAGATAGGTTTCAAGCAACGTTACTGTGTGCTTTTGAAGATAGGCTTCATGCAACGTTACGGTGTCGTCTCATTCTGTTGCTTAGACAAGAATCGGCGGGGGTTGGAAATAGGAAATAGAACCCCCATAATGAAAGAAGTATTACGTTAAGTTATTGACATTTAGAACGGTGCGCTCGTTTTGCTTTATATCCCTAATCCCAAAATTGTGTTTAAATATATGTGTTTATATATATATATATATATATATATATATATATATATATATATATATATATATATATATATATATATATATATATATATATATGGTACTCAAAACATACACGGTGCCACTGAGCCAGGCGCCATTAGTGAATCAAATCATATAAGCAGCAGGCTAACAGAGTAACACAAGTCACGTGAAGTCTTAGATTATGTTTTTGCTATAGAATGGGCTTTTCATACTGGGTAAGATGGTTGTGGGGGTGGGGGGAGGGATTGAGGGAATCCTAGCTGCCTAGTTATTAGCTGTAACCAGTATTAATTACTGAGACTGCTAGTAAAAACTTTACACTAGTTTGTTTTGTCAGTCAGTGTGAGTAAATTACTTCAACAAAACTCACCTCACATAAAGGTCCATACACAATCAGTGACAATGTCTGGTATCAGACTACGATATCCCTAGTGGGGTCAACGATCTCATCAGCTTCCAGGTGCGACATCAGGTGAAGTCAGGGGCATGCCAGGTCTTTGAAAAATCAATTTTTATGCTTGGTTATATCCAGAACAGAATACACTTCTAAACGCACAAAGCCGCTGACAGAAAGGAGAGTTTGTTATTTTTAATCCCAATAATCCTGAATCAAGATATCCACGTTAATCCAGTACATCCAAGAAAAACGTTTGCCTCAACTAGCAGCTTGTCTTGATATAAACAACAGGCTGAACTAAAACACCACACGCAATAAAGATTTTTTTTTTTAAATAGTACGGCCAGACAATATTTGATAGAATAATTCAATCGGCCAGTGATAACTTTTAAATAGGATACAATTTAGTTACCTTATGGAGCCACGATAAAAATACGAACACAAAAACATTACCGACGCAATATTTTATCCTACCAACTACATCTGTATTTGCCTACAATGTTCGACGATAACTCAGTAAAAAAAAATATCGATGTTTATTTTTAAAAACCAATAGTATTATTTCAGGAATAATTTAAACACAGTAGATCTAGATAATCCGTTCCCATTGTCAAGAAAATCCGAATACGCAGTTCTAGAGAAAAACAATGGGACTGATAAAAGTAAGGAGAGAGCACATAGGTGGTCTAAGCAGTGGGATATTCCGTCACCGGCACAGTGTACAGCACGAGACGAGACGAGTTGCGAGTCTCCGAGTGTCGCCGAGTGCCATTCGCGTCTGCCCAGACAGCGACGTTTATGGTCTGCTATCGACAAGCAAGGGAGAGTAGGGCGGCGTGAAACGGTTTCAACGCCAACGGTTAACAAGACGATCAGCAGTCAGGGAACTTTTGAATTAACGCATTGGTCCAACGGGATTTCCCGTATTTAGAAGGTCTCAGACAATTTAGCGAATTAGTAGAATCTACGTCATATGGCAGTTTTAAAATATGTATATATTTTAAAACTGTAAATGTACATATTTTTTCTACATTTTTTAGACTGTAAATTTAAATTTTAAAACACAAAAAGGACAAGACAATTTTTTTTTTAAATGATGCAAATTATATGTACAAATAAGAAAGATCGGTAATCAAAAAATGTATCAATACAAGAAACTGTGAAAATGTTAAGAACATAATAGGGTTTTTAATACCCCCATAAAATTACAAATAGCACAGGAAAACAGCGTTCCCTAACTCTGTAATTAAAATACTGTTCCACGTAACACCATATAGTCTCCCTTGAAGAATGATAAAATAAATAGATCTACGAAAAATTACGGAAAGCGATTTCAAAATTGTAGGTAGAATCTACATAGTTTTTGTAACTTACTATCAAAACGTTTTTTTTTTTTAAATTCAATCAATAAAATATTTTTAAAAAATTATGCAAAAGTTTACGTCACATTGTATTGTCTGCGGATCTTAGCCTACGTGTCAGGTAGGTTCTGTAGGTGGCTAAAATTTTGCTCGTAAGTTTCGATCAATGATGGAGAAGCGCGGCAGACAGAGGAATCAAGCTTTTAAAAACTTGCAAAAATGATAAAACAATCTATCTCGGCTTAGTAAAAGCACTAAATTATTATAAAAATGTGTAAAAGATATGAGCGACAGATGTGTTACGAAGTTTTCTTATTTTCAATGCACTTAAAATTAAAAGCTTATAATAATAAGGTTTTTATACAAAGGTTACTTTTTACATTTTAGTATGTAGGTATTGTAATGATATGAGATTAAGTCGATATATATGTTTTAAAAACGTTCAGAGGCGTCGCGATGGGGGGGGGGGGGGGGTGCAGACCGCACCGGGTGACACGAAGGCAAAAAAAGCAAAACATATACAGAAAAATGATAATTCCAGTTAATTAAGTGATTAATTAGAGTGAGTTAAATAGTCTTTTAAGAGCAAAGTTGACAAATCCCGACAAGGGTGGAGAGGAGGGGGTGACAACATCAAGCTGCATTTATCACCGACCAGAGGCGTAGCGGGGGGGGGGGGGGGTTCGGACCGCACCGGGTGATACCATTTAGGGAGGTGACACCAAGGCAAAAAAGAGCAAAATATATAGAGAAAAACTTGAGGTGGGGGGTGTAAATCGAAAGTTCGAGGGGGGGGGGGGGTGACGCCTCTGGGGGGGGGGGACACCATTAAGTGCCGCGCCGGGTAACACCCGACCACGCTACGCCACTGTAACTGACAGAGTTTCTTCCAAGCATCTCTTCGGGGAGGGGGGGGGGAGAAAGTCTACCGCCCCATATATATATATATATATATATATATATATATATATATATATATATATATATATATATATATATATATATATATATATATATATATACATATACATATATATATATATATATACATATACATATATATATATATATATATATATATATATATATATATATATATATATATATATATATATATATATATATATATATATATATATATATAAATTTTTACGGGGGGGGGGGGGCACCATTAAGTGCCGCACCGGGTGACACCCGACCTCGCTACGCCACTGAAAACGTTTGTTAAGTGTCGCAACCGCACGACAAAGATTATTTGCCTAAACGCAGAATAGATAACTCAAAGAAAATGACAATTATCTGCCCCTTTAGCCAAGTCCGATGCCTTAAGAGTACATCCGTGGTAATTGTATTTATAGTGAGCTCACCAAACGGATTAAGTGTGCGCTATTTAAGTAGCGTCACAATGCGGGGGCGGGTGGGGGTGTTGTCCATACTGGGTACAAATATTTCCTTAATAAACTTGACAATTTGTTTTCGTTGGATAGTGTCACCCCTAGGATGGCGTCACCAGTGCGGTCCTTACCCTCTCCCACCCTCCCCACCCCATTTCAACCTACCTTTACCCTTGTGACGTTACTGCCAAGTCATTAATTTTTTCACATTTTTTTCAATAAGGTAAAATGAAGGGGAGGTTAAAAAAAAACGTCATTTATAAAAGACCCCTCGATAAGCTACATTTATGAAGACGTATGGAGAAAAAAAGTTTTCCCAGTAGGCCTACATGTTAAGTTTCAGCACACATTGGCATGAGGGAAAACAATTTAATACCGTTGACTATGCCTAGAAATAGCGTATAAAGAAAATACGCTTAATATTTTATAATTGTCTAGAAACATTAAATAAAAAGTCATTTTCAATAGGTTAGGCAAAAAGCGAAAAACATTAGTGCAAAACTCATGTTAGATCTAGATCTAGGCCTAAATGTTTTTTGGATGCACTCATTTATGTTAGAGGTAGCCTGTTCCTGCGAGATTTAGCGAGACAAACAAACCAAGATGGCAGACACCAAGCGCAGTACCGACATAAAAAAAGATGAGAAAACGGACACAAATGAAGCAGAGAAGAAAAAGGGAGAGCCTAAAACTGAACAAGACCTAGTACGTTAATGAAATCTAATAAATATAGATCTATCTATTGAAATTTCGTTTAAACTTATACATTGTACTACACACCCCCATTAAATCGAAGAACCGAACCGCTTCGTTTTTTTCCAGCTTCAAATTTTGCATGTCATGCCAATCGCTCATTAGAGTCATTACTAACATTAAAGCCAATGTTGTCATAAAGTCTCATTGATAATCAAACTGATATTAATGATATATAGATCTAATTCAAAATTTATTATAAATACACCTTACAACACCGTTATTAAGCAAAACCACTGCAAAACTGGTGGGGTTAAATTTGGATTGGATTATTTTTTGGGACCAACTCACTAAATTTTTAAGTAGTAGTATTTCTCGCTAACTTGGATGCGTGGTCGGTTGCTAACAACAATATGGCGCCCGGACCGGACGTCTGATTTCCGGTGATTTTTCGGCCAAATTCCAGAGACCTTCAACTAATTACATTTAAAAATGTTTACCACGCGCAAAATGGCGGGATTTCCGTGTCATAACAACAAACCATAAGTGGCAGGGTTAGATATGCCAGAAAAGCATTTTAAAATTTGGTTTGGAGAACGGAGGCTAAATTCAAAAGTTGGTTTCATTAAAATTAATAGAATTTAAAAAATATCAACAGTGTAGGTACAGAAATGAGCGAGAACGTAAAGCATTATTAGTTTTATCAGTCTATGAAAAAAGAAATCAAATATTGTGAGCTGTTTTTTTATAAGACCGGCGTCCGTATCACAACCAATTTATTTTTATTTTTTAAAAACCACGTGACCGCTATTTGGTGATCACTAGTGAGGAACTCTTGTGCATGGAGTCTAACCTGATTTGTGGTTTTCTTTAGCTTCAAGCTTAAGAAGAGTTGACATGGAGAGATGTGTTGGACATGGCAGTGATTGACAATAAATATTAAATTAACTAATTTAGTTCAAAACGAACTAAAAACTCCAAAGTTAGTGCCTAATGGATTAAATATGGATGTCTATTATTCAGTGGTCATGTTTAAATTGATAATTGCGTAAATTCTAGATTTAGTGAGAAAAACTATTAAGTAGAGGTCTAGATTTTCTCACAAAATCTAAAATTTACCTAATTTTTAATTTAAACATGACCACCGAATAATAGACATCCATATTTAAGCCATTAGGCACTAATTTTGAAGTTTTTAGTTTTAAACTAAATTAGCCTACTTAATTTAATATTTATTGTCACTCACTGTTATGACACGACACACCTCTCCATGACAACACATGTAATATCACTCTTACGTTTGAGGCCAGGGCAAACCACGAATCGGTTAGACTTTTTAATTGGCTATGCACCAGAATTCCTCAGTAGTGATGAACCAAATAGCAGTCACGTGGGTTTAAAAAAAAATAATTGGTTGTGATATTAATGCCAGTCTTTTTACTTATAACAAAACAGCTCACTATATTTGATTTCTTTTTTTCATAGACTGATAAACCTAATAATGCGTTAGGTTCTCGCTTATTTTTGCACCTACACCATTAAATTTTTTAAAGTTCTATTAATTTTAACGAAACCAACTTTCTTCAAACCAAATTTTAAAATGCTTTTCTGGCATACATAGCCCTGCCACCTATGATTTATTTTTATAACGTGAAAACCCCATAATTTTTCTCGTGGTAAACATTTTAAACAGTAATTCTAAGAAGGTCACTGGAACTAAGACTAAATTGTGGGAAGTCATGCATCCTGTGTGTATGCCATATTGTTGTTATCAATGGCCACGCCTCTGGGTTTGCGAGTAATACTATTAAATAGGCCTTAATTGTAAAATGTAGATCTAGGCTCTAAATAGCTAGGCCAATGCCGCTGCCGAGAAAATCGGACAAATCGGCTTTTCCCTACCCCCTGCATGTTTAACTCTGTTTTTTGCATGCTTTTATTGTGTTTATGTTAACATGTTATACATCATTCTGTTCGTAATTGAACAACCTTTTTAACTGTATAAGTTTGATTTCTTTATTATTTCAGACGTTGAAGAAATCACCGATTTAATCGCATTTTTTACCCCCCGCGGCGACGTGCCGATTAGGGGGGAGGCTTTTTCACCTTTTTAAAAGAGGGGTGTTACTTAGAGTCTATAGACTCTTTGAGTTTTCGTACTACAACAGTGAAACTTGGTAGAAGAATAGATTAAATGTTCACGTATAACGCTCAAGGTTCTTGGGGAAAATATGTTAAATACTTTTGGAGATATCGAACGGCAAAGTTGAACTAAGTTATTTGGGCTATTAATGAATCGATTTTTAATTTGAACCTTGAGCTGTATTCCTGAAATCTCGACGTTTATTAATATGTATGATATGTCATATTAGGCCCTATAATAAGGACGTCTATAGACTTTGAAGTGGACGGAAAATGAAAACATGACGCGCCGACCGCTGTCCGACTGAATCGCTCGGCTGTGCTTCGAATCGCTGTTTTAAATATGACGCTCTACAATTTGTTTTTATAGACGTATCGAGTTTACGTACTACAACAATCAAATTTGGCAGACGAACAGATTAAATGTAGACGTACAACGCTCAAGGTTCGTGGTCAAAATAAGTTAAATACTTCGGGAGATATCGGACCGCAAAGTTGAACTAAGTTTCCCGGTCTATTATTTGACCTATTTTACATTTGAACCTTGAGCTGTATTCCTGAAATCCCGCCGATTATTTCAATGTATGACATGTATTATAACACCTCATAATAAAGCCGTCCATACATTTTAAGACGGAACGAAAATAAAAATTAACGCGTCGGCCGCCGTCCGACTGAATCGTGATCTACACATCGTGTAGCACAGCCGAGTGTGTGGTCACGTGACGCTAGGCGGTTGATCCGATTGGATGAGACTATAAACAATTTCTAAAGATAGATACGTGTGTTCCCGTATTTGACTCGTCGGGTATTGCTATTTTATATTTAAGTAGACAGGCATGTTTCATAACTTTGTTTTAAACCATTGAAACGGCAAAAAAAAAAGTCGTAATAGTATTTACTAATCGTCAAAATTAATCTTCTTTAGAATTTAATCCGGATAGCTGCGACCCGACCAAACAATGCTGATGTGATTCGCGTAACGTTTCATTATTGTGTACATTACTTTTTCGTAAAAATGGCTTTAAAAAATAAATTAAATTTTACCCCGGGCTCTTTTTTTTCGGTTGACTAAAAAATTTTAAAACCCTTAACAAAGTGGAGGTTACTAGTTGCCAAATCGACCAAAATGGGATGGGGTGGGTATGGGGAGTCACTGACCATCCTACACGGTATGTAACACCGTATGTAACATCCATAGCCTCACCCCGCCCCCACTACTCCATGACGCGACAAGCCGAGGGTCGGCGCCTTTGATGTTGTATAACACCCGTACGGTACCCGAGAGGCTCGCGGTGGTTTCATACCCCACCTCCCTCCCCCTTCACTTTGTGGAGTTGATGTTACTAACCCTCGGGCATAGATCAGGAAATCTTCCCAGACTTTTGTCTCTAAAATTACATAATATTCGTCTGACACGTTCATCGGGTTGGCCGACTAGCCTATCTAGCCTCGTGTTTACGTAATACGGCAATAAAATTCGTTGGTCAGAAAACCTGGTTAACCACCTCTGATTGAACTAAATCTAGGCAAATGCTGATGGTGATAAACGCCTCCGTGTTAAGCCAGACATGGGAAACTTAAAAAATGCCTAGCATCTACTACACACAGTCAAGCACTCAAACACGTGCTTTTTTTCCCAATGTAATAGGCCTATGGTAGGCCTACAAAATACACCAGCTTACAACTAGCATAAACATTGAGCATATATAAATCTATGTTATAGACCTATTACTTACACTACCTTGTACAAGCTAAAAAAAAACAATTTTCCTCCAATGTTTATGTTATTAAAATTGTAAAAATGAGCAACTTTTTTGTGTTTAAAAATATTACAAAATTATCATAAAGCACACTGATTCTGATAAGACATATTTGTAACTAGGCTAATTCTATAGAAGAAAGTTGTATCAATGGTATGACATTTAAAGTAACAAGAAATATAAATATAATAAGATATGCCTATATTTTTGGAATAGAGTAGACCTGTAAGATTGCACATAGATTACATAACATATTTAAGAAGTTACATCATCACAAATATACTATTGTTATAGCATCCTTCTCTTTGTATTAAAACTGTATTAGTTCTCTTTTCTTTAAGTAGGCTATTCACTTAAAGTTAACTGACAATGAGCAAAAGAGATTTTAAAATAAATACATGGTAAATTATGAGCAAAAGGTGCGAATTACATAACCTGACCTTTATAGTTTTGTAATAATGTTCGACCATTTTAAATATCACCATTAGCTTCAGCATATACAAATGTCATATTATGGTTTAAAACAGTGTTTAATTTAAAGAATGACTTCTTATCACACGGATTATCAGATGTTGTAAAAAAAATTGAAGGGGGGTATTACATAATCCATGAAATAAGTCTGTTATGTAATCAAAAGACACTTTTTAAAATAGCATCATTGCATTCGGCATACACAAATCTACAAAATATCATAAAATGACATCAATTGGTGAAGTCTGCTTGCTTTTATACCACTTTTAGTGAAAAACTCTTAAAAATTTGGTCCATACCCTCCCAGTATTTTTCCTCTTTCAGAGTCTACCCCGGTTGTCTGAAAAAACTGCTGTTTTTTAATGACAAAAAAATTCATAACTTTTTTGTTTATGGTCAGATTTTGAAAATTCAAACTGATCTGTAATCAGATTGACAGCCCCTATCCAAATATGTAACTATTATATTGTTTTACTGAAATTAAATTTTTGCATTGGCCTAGCTACTCTAAATTATTTCCCAGTTTTACTTATTTCATTGCAAAGTATATTTATATCCATTATGTTCATAAACACCAAGTTTAAGGCCCAAACTTCATCTTTTCCCTTTTGTGCCCAAGACGCAACAGGAGTCTAAAACAATTTCCTATTTATGTTAGGCCTATTTAATATTTAGGCCTATCTAACTTTTTAAGTGCAGCACAAAGTGACTGCCAAAAAAAATCCAACGAATATTCATGTGAGTGTAGTATCTAAATTTAGATTTTAGAATTCCTGCTGGAGTTAGATGTTAATCAATAAATCAAGAACATTTGTTTGTGCATGAACAGCTTTGGAATATATGGGTCAATTCAGACCTAAATGGCCTAAAATTTTATACTTAATCACTAATATTATGTTAAAAAATGTACTTATGTCAAGTATTATCTTGAAACCTAACATTTATTGATAAACTTTTAGTCAGAGGAAGATAGGCAGTTGCAGGATGAATTGAACATGCTTGTTGAGCGGCTGACTGAGCCTAACCAAAAACTATACCTGGCTGCTCTTGAGAATTTGCGCAGCCAAATTAGAGCATCAACTACTTCAATGACATCAGTGCCCAAGCCTTTAAAGTTTTTAAGGCAGCATTTTGATACGCTCAAAACTGTCTATGAAAAAATAATTGACAACAATACCCAGGTATGTTCAAAATTTTGGTATTTTTAAAAATAATTATTATATTTGAAATAAAGAAAGTTTTACTTTTAAAAGTTATGTTAGAAACTGATACCTATGAAGACCACACATGAAAATCCACAGATATTTACTTTTTAAAAAATTTCTTATTATACTATAAAAAATAAAAAACCACCCAGATCCCCCAAACTTTTAGGTTTCTAATATCATGTGACAATTGTCACCAGTTCAATTTTTGTGTCATCCCCTGTGGTCTTCCTATTATTTAAGAAATAAAAATAAATGAAGTCTAGGTAATTACTTCTTGATGAATTTATTCTTTTGTTTTGCTTTAATTATCTATTAAACATTATAACTCTTGATATTGAAAATTTATAGAATATTGTAAAAATTCTTTTTTTCCTCTACAGCGTTTTTGCGCTGACATAATTTCTGTCCTTGGTATGACCATGAGTGAGGGTAGAGACAGTCTTAAATATAGACTTTTAGGCTCTAAGGAAGAAATAGGCTCATGGGGGCATGAGTATGTCAGGTAAGTTTTAATTATCATTTTTTCTAATTAGAAGTTAAAGTTGTAGTTTGCATCTTTTGAAATTAATTTTTATATTTAACCAGGCATTTAGCAGGCCAAGTAGCACAGGAGTGGCAAGAACTCAGTGAAGATAGCACAGAGATGAAAGAAAAGCTGGTTGGGTTGGCTAAACAAATTGTGCCTCACCACATGTCTCACAATGCTGAAGCAGAAGCTTGTGATCTTTTAATGGAGATTGAGAAGTTGGAGCTGTTGGAACACTATGTTGATGATGCTGCATATTCTAGAGTGTGCTTGTATCTTACAAGGTATATAACTCATGAGTGTTGTTTTATTACTAGCTGTAAGCAAGCATGATTTCATGTAATGTCTTAACCAACCAATCCATTTTTTTTACAGCTGTGTTCCTTATGTACCAGACCCTGAAAACACAGTTCTACTAAAGTGTGCAGTAAATTTGTATAGGAAATTCAAACAGTTCCCACAAGCCCTTAGATTTGCTATGGCTTTGAATGACATGGCTCTCATTGAAGAAATTTTCCTGGAATGCCCAGACCCGTAAGTGTTTTGAAGTAATGATCTGCTTGTTTGCTACTTGTTTGTAAACAAATTTGAAATAAATAATACTTTTTTTTTCGCTTATGTAATGATCTTTAAAAAATTTGATAATTTTTGCTTACATTATTTTTTTTATCAGGCTTGTAAAGAAACAATTAGCTTATATGCTGGGCCGCCAACAAATTTCCCTTGAATTGTCTGAAATGATGGATGACAAGGATGATTTAAGAGAAATTATTGCCAATGGGCAACTGAATCAACATTTTCTTACCCTAGCCAGAGAGGTAACTCAACATTTTCTTATTCTTGGTTAATTACCAACAATGTTTCAATTTTCAAAGCCAAATTTCTAAAATGCTGCATCTTGCTTCTTTTAATCAACAGTTGGATATAATGGATCCTAAAGTTCCAGAAGATATATACAAAACTCATCTAGAGCCCAACAGTAAGTAGGAAAATATTAATATAAAGTAGAAAATTAAAAATTTGAAATATAAAACATTATTACATTGATTTATTATTTATTATCTTAATCAGGAAATACCATAGGCCCAAGCAATCTTGACTCTGCTCGACAAAATTTGGCTGCCTCTTTTGTCAATGGACTTGTTAATGCAGCTTTTGGTACAGACAAACTCATAACACCAGAGGAGGGACACAAATGGCTTTATAAAAATAAGGAGCATGGTATAGTTGTTGATTTCTTTGTGAAATTACTGGTTGTTGCTTTTATATTTTTCAAAATTATTAGTCATCTAAAAGTTAATTGGAAGAAGTAATGTAAAAACTGATGTAATTTAGGCATGCTGAGTGCGACCGCATCTCTTGGACTGATCTTACTTTGGGATGTTGATGGTGGTCTTACACAGATTGACAAATTCCTTTACTCAAATGAAGACTACATTAAGGCAAGTTTAGTTGATATAATAATTTTAAAACATATTATCTTTCATGCATTTCATTTAATGTGATTTTATAAAATAAAATGTTTTGATTTTTAAAACACAAGAATGTCCAATTTAATACATCCAGGCTGGTGCACTTTTGGCTTGTGGTATTGTAAACTCTGGTGTACGTAATGAATGTGATCCAGCTCTGGCCCTTCTAGGTGACCATGTGATGCACACCAACTCTTTCATGAGGATTGGTGCCATTAGTGGGTATGTTTAACACCCATATGTTTGACAATTTTAGGTTCTTAATATTTTTAGATGAGAATATTTCCCAGTGTACCTTCTGATTTAATTGATTCATTTTGCTTCCTGAAATTATAAATAATCTAGTTTTTTTTTTTTCAGCCTAGGTCTAGCCTACGCTGGATCAAACAGTACTCCTGTCCTATCTTTGATTCTTCCTGTTCTAGGTGATCCCAAAGCTAACATGGAGGTATTTGTTTTTATTTAAGATTAATTGTAGGCCCATTTACTTTGTTGTACAAATTGAATGATTCTCATCGCTATTTATGAAGGAAATATTTGGAAATATCCATGGGAGATAATTTACTATAAAAGCTTTTGCTCAGCTAAATTTTATATTTTAGGACAATTGTATTCAAATAGGTACACAAAGTGTTGGCATCATACATATGCACACATGCATATATACGCTCACTAAACAATTAACTAACTGTAAGTTTAGGTGATATATAAATTATTATGCAAGTAATTGCAACATTTTAACATTTAGGTTGTTGGTAATGCTGCCCTTGCTTGTGGTATGATCGCGGTGGGCACATGTAATGGTGATGTCACATCAACTATCCTACAAACCATGATGGAGAGATCTGAGACTGAACTAAAAGAAACATATTCACGTTATCTTGCATTGGGTTTAGCACTTGCTTTTCTAGGTTAGTTGTTGTTTAACAGGTAATTACATATGGTGTTATTAATATTTAGTTAGTAACTAAAGAAATTTTTTTTTTGCTCTATTTCTGTAACACTGCAGTCAGGGTTTGAGTTCTTAATTCTCTAAACTAAAATAATTTTTGGTTTAACTAGGCAAACAAGACGCTTGTGATGCCACACTAGTTGCCTTGGAGGTTATTGCTGAGCCACTCAGATCAATGGCCACCATGCTGGTTGATGTTGCTGCCTATGCTGGCACTGGCAATGTGTTGAAGATACAACATTTACTGCATGTGTGCTCTGAGCATGATGAGTCCAAAGATGCTGACAACAATGAGAAGAAAGAGGACAAGAACAAAAAGAAGGACAAGGACGATAAAAAGAAAGAAGATGAAAAGCCTGTTGGTCCAGATCTCTCAGTTCAACAAGGTCAGGAAATTGTTTTAGTCATCGGTATTACTATTTTTTTACTACATGTATAGATTCATATAAATAATAATAAACTGGTATTGATTTATAATTATCCTGTGTTATTCAGGTGTTGCTGTTCTGGGTATTGGTCTCATTGCCATGGGAGAAGAGGTTGGGTGTGAGATGTCATTCCGTGCTTTTGGCCACTTGTTGCGTTATGGTGAACTACCCATCAGAAGGGCTGTACCATTGGCACTAGCACTCATATCTGTATCAAACCCTAAATTAAACATTCTAGACACCTTAAGTAAATTCTCTCATGACAGTGATCCTGAAGTAGCACACAATGCAATTCTCTCTATGGGGATTGTAGGGGCAGGTAAGTGCTTCAATCTAGTCAATATTATTCCCTCTTTAATTTCTTGAAAATCATTATTTAGAGTGCAGTTCCAGCACAATGTATCAGATCTAAAATAATTTATTTAAAAAGTAATTTCTTTCTAAATCTTTTACTTTTTAGGAACTAATAATGCTCGTTTAGCAGCCATGCTCCGCCAGTTGGCAGTCTATCATGCTAAGGATCCAAACAATTTGTTCATGGTACGACTGGCCCAAGGTTTGACTCATCTTGGCAAGGGGACACTAACTCTCAGCCCATATCATAGTGATCGCATGCTTATGTCCCCTGTTGCTGTTGCTGGATTATTATCAGTTCTGGTTTCATGTTTAGATGTTAAAAATAGTGAGTACTGCGTTTGTTATTGGTTATGAATGCGAGGATTTATATTTTAATAAGCTTTAACTAAAGAAAATTACCCTGGATAATTGAAAAGTACTTCAAGCATCATTGAATTGAATAAAAGCAAAGCATTCAATGCAGTATGTGGCTTATAAAGCTTTTAATCTATTTTTAATAGAAAAACTATTTTAAATAATCTAAATCTTTTGTTTAGACATTTAGCCCTTGTGCTTAAAATAAAATAGAATGTACTTTAAAATTATAATATTTAAATTATAAAGGGTAATGCATTTTTTTTCTTCTTAAAATTTAGTTATAATTGGAAAATCCCACTACATGTTGTATAACCTGGTATCTGCCATGCAACCACGAATGTTGGTGACATTTGATGAACAGCTTAGACCTCTGCCAACTACTGTCAGAGTTGGACAAGTAAGCAGTTTTTCATTGACAATGAAATTATTTTAATTTTTATAGTAGCTTTTTGAATATTTTTAAGTACAGTAAAAGTTCATTGTATAGTACTAACTGATAACTGTTTAAGCTGAAATAAGCTACACTTACTAGAAGTAAATGTGTAAAATTGAATTTAGGTTTGGGAAAGCTCTGATCAACATGTTTTATAGTTAAATTGTCTTTGAAATATGGTCTATAGACATAGTTAACAATTAAAGAAATTTGATTGTAAGGTAATATTATGATTGAGCTAGATTGTTATCTGTTTTTCTTTTATTAGGCTGTTGATGTGGTTGGACAAGCTGGTAAACCTAAGACAATCACAGGTTTCCAAACTCACACAACACCTGTCTTGTTAGCTTATGGTGAAAGAGCAGAATTAGCTACTGAGGAATGTATCCTTTTATTAACCATGTTATTATTTGGTTCTTTTATACTGGAATGCTTTTTGAGACTATACCTTTTTTCAGACATAAATTGGAAACATTTCCAGACTTAATTCAGATACTGTTCATCAACTGTTTATAAAGCAATGCAGAAAATTTTACACTTGGTTTAGTACAATATAGTGATATTTATTTTAAGCAAAAAGCTTTTTCTCCTTTTGAAAGTCAATTATGAGAAAATAGCATTTTCCAGGGCTGCCTACATCAAAAAATATCTTCTTAGCACTTGGCTTTCCATAATAATGCCCTTTACTCTTTTTATTAACATTTATATAATTTAAGACCTTTGTAAATAATCATGAAGTTTATCAGTTTAGTACTAAGTCACACCTAATGAATTTTTCTTTTATTTAAAAATTATGGGTTCAGATCATGATTATGCCCACTCAGAAGAAGATTGCATAATTATCCTAGTTTGATGTTTAATTTACCACACTCATTTTATATTTAACGCTAAGACCTGCCCCTAAAAATAAAATAGCATGGCTGTTTATATAGTATCGTATTAAACAACGCTGGTTTATCACTATATCCCCCGTGTGCAAACTTGTGTGCTACAAATAAAAAACCATTTAGACACCCTTATGTTCTGGTTGGCATAAATGTTTGGAGCATTTCCCTATGCATTAGGCATTTTACCTGCATTGCAATTTTTTTTTAATGGTATACAAATACTATAGTCTTAAGTATTTGTTAAACTTAAGTTTCTAGAGTTTTCTTTTTTTTTGTAAGCAGTTTGAAATTTAGATAAATCACTTTTCTTATATTTAATCTTGTTCTAGAATTGCCTTCTCCTTAACAACATTTTAGATCTACCCTTGACTCCTATCATGGAAGGTTTTGTCATCTTGCGCAAGAATCCAGATTTCAGTGCTGAATCTTAATCTCATGTAATTTGTGCTTTTTTTAAAGCAACATTTTTGTTTGAATGATTTGTATGATTGTCTTGAGAGATGTTCGACCATTGTTTTGTTTCAGCAGTTAATTTTACCAATTGTAGTGTAGGAACAAGTCCACATTTTCAGAACCAATAGAATATGCTTTTTATGTTTCAGCTATTATATGGGTGGACCTTTTCTAATTCAAGTGCAGTTCGATTTTTATTTAATATTGTATCAGTTTAAATTTGAAAATAAAGACTGATTCATTTCCAGATTGTTGTTTCTAATTTGTAAAACCAATAAACATGCCCCAACTGGGAAGAAAGGATACTTCAATTCAGTATTGTTCAGTGACTGATTTTAATGTTAAGTACATAATTTTAAAAGGTTAATAAACCAATACATTAAACCTCAATACATTGTATTTTAAAGCATTAAATGAAATATTGTTCTCTTAAATCTTAGTGTATAATTAACCATAATTATTTCATTGTATGACAATCAGCAATACAGTATGAGCAAAACAGTATAAATTAATGCACTACACTGATTCAGTAAATTAAGATCAAATTATTTTTTAAAATACAAGTAAAAGTTCTAAAAACTAAGGGTAAAAAAAAAAAGTTAAAAACTGGAATGTAACTTGATTAATGATTGTAATTGTACACTTTCTGTGGCTAGTGTTCATAAAATGCTCTTCATTGTATATATTCCTTAAAAAACATGCCTCACTTTTTTATAATAAAACAGATTGACAATTCAATGCTGGTGTTTTAAAGTATGTTTAAAAGTAAACAAAAACATTTTGATATAATTTTAGTTGATTAAAAATATATACCACCAAATTAATCATGTACCAGTTGACAGTTAAAATTATAATAGAAACTTCCTAGTTTTTAGTTTCAACACAAAAAGACAATCTGACAAAATAATACTTAAGCAATCGTATGTACATTGCATAGAATCACAGTTTACTAAAATCCTAATAATTACTAAAGGCACTTGACTTTTAAAAATTATTGTTCTTGATTTACATTTTTTTTGGCACAACTAGGCTATAATCTGATAATAGATTCTATTTATTTAGTATTTATCACCAAGTATTTGAATGTTCTTAATTTTTTTTTCTTGTTGCTTTACTTAAAAAATTCTCAGGTATTCAATTACTTCAATGAGTAGAATTATGTATCTAAACACTTAATAAAATTGTCATGGCTCAATTATAGAAACAAATATGTAAACTAATTTAAGGATAGATGAGTAAAAAAAGAACAATACTATTGCTTAGTAGCAGAACATGACTTTATAAATGAGAATAATTGACAATTTTTCTCAAAGCCTAGATTGATTTGGTTAAATTCAAATACACATCTAGTGTAACCAATAAATTAACATTCATGTTAATACACACCAGAAAACATTCTTTGACATGGATTTCCATTTTACAATCAAACTTGTATAATACAAATCTAGCATCAAACAAATTCTAGACAAACTAGTAAATGAATGTAAAATAAAACTTAAAGCATCACAAACTTTCTCTGAAGAAATGCAGTATCAATTTGATACAAAAATTCAAATGCTCTCTTGAAGCACCATATGCAATTTTAATGTGAATCACTTTCAATTAAATGGTAAAATGGGTAAAATACTAAGTAAAAAGTTGATTCATTCAATTAATGAAATATTATGCTGTAAAAGTAGTAAGAATATGAAAGATGGTATCAATAAAATATTGTTCAACTACTCTAAGTACTGTTGTAGCCCATGACTAGACAACACAGATAAATAAATATTACCTTAAAGACTGATGTTTTAAGAAATAAATACATTTTTTTAAAACTCACACAGCCAAAGTATCTGATACTTAAAATTGTAAATGTAAAACTTAATAATCAACAGCTTTCTAATTAAATCCACAACAATCGTATAAATGAAATGATTATAAATGTTTTATGAATACAATGAACCTAAAAAGATCGAATAATTATGATTGCAAATTTTCCAAACACATCAGATCATGTAAAGATAACGAATGTAACCATTAAAAGAAAATGATAAAAATTCCCACGTGTACACCAGAGAAATAAAAATGGGTGAAACATCATGTGAACATGACATTTAAACAAGCACACTTTACTGTCTTGCGATTAATTGTTACTACTAAGAAATTTAGTCTCGTAAAAATCCCATGAAGTCATCCTTGTTTTCAATGGTGGTCCTTGTTGGTCGGCCAAGGTCAGATCTAGATCCAAGTTTTACTTTCAGCTCAAGTAAAATGGGACCACGAGCCTTATGAAGATATCTTACTTTTTCCTCAATTTCCTTTTCTGTTATTGCTACAAGAGCCTGCACGAGCATAGGAACCAAATATTTATTAGTTTAAACAGATATCTCTTGATAATCAAAGAGTATTTCTACCTGCCATTAAATATTTAATTCAAAGATTTAGATCCATGGACACTTACCTCCTTATACCCACACCCTTTAGCAATGGCACAGAGATCAAAATCTTCATGATTACCAGCTTCAGTAGGTTGACCACCAACTGAATCATGGGCCCCATTATTGAATACAATATGCTTCAGGTTAGCTGGGCCCTGCTGGCCTACAGTGGCTAATGATCCCATATGCATGAGAAGAGCACCATCACCATCCAAACAAAACACCTAATTTAAATAAACCGGTTAATTTTGTCAGAGCAACATTAAATACATATGGGTTTATACAAAAAATGTTTACTTATTATAACGGCTAAAGATGATAAAATATTGTATTTTACCTGCCGTTGAGGTTTTTGAAGGGCAATACCAAGGGCGATGGCTGAAGCATGACCCATAGACCCTACAGTCAAAAAATCTCTTGCATGACCCATCTTCATGGTCACCCTAAAACACAGCAGATATGCAAATATTGAAATATTAGCAACTTTAAATTATCACTTACTTTAAATATTAACAAAGATTCAACAAAACAGAAACGGTAAATTCTCTTTCTTGCGTGTAACATTTATTTTTAACTAAATTCCACCAGCTCTTGCCCCTTGAGTATCAAACACTACACAAACATCTTACCTATACTCAAACAACTCTCTTGATAACATCCCTGTGGTCCCAACAACAGCATCATTTTCTTGTAAGCACTCAACTACTTTGAACAATGCCTCTTCTCTTGTCAAAGGAAACCTAGTTATTTACAAACATTTAGAAAATGTAAAAAACCAGATAATTTGAAATGCTTTTCCACGGCTTAAAACAATGAAAAGTTTAATTTTACCTGTGAATTATTTTTATCTATGCCATGCAGAAAATAATGTCAAAAATGTCTGGTAACAAAGTGGGTGAGAACAAGGAAAGATTAACTAACTAAATAAGATACTGAGGGAGAAGAAATAAAATATCTTACTGATTATCTCGATCTTGTGCTTTCAACTTATAAGGAGAAAATGTTTTACTCTTGACCAAGAGAGCAAAAGGAGACTTCTTATCTTCAAAATACTCTTCAGCTTTCTTTAATACCTTTTAGCATAAAAAAACAACATCAGTATAAACACACAGGTTGTCTACATATTATTAAATTTACCTCAAACTTACAAACTGAGCTAAGTAAATAAAATTTAAATGGGCCCAATCGTACCTGATAATACTGTAACAAATGGATATTAAACAAAAACACAGTATACAAGGTTTGCATCAAGAAAAAAAAACTATAACAAAATGTTTCAGAAACTTACTGCTCTCATACTGGCTTCATCCTTTGGGAGAATTTCGCATGGGATATTCATGCAATCTGGGGATTCAGATATATCTTTAAATTAACACTACAATAATTTCAAGCTTTTGAAGTCAATTCATATTCTCTAGGAATGTTTGAATATAGAAGTTCAGATGAAAGTGAACCTATAAAATTTATTAAAATACTGACTATCCATGGAAGGGATTCTACTAAGTGGTATTTAAACTCATCATTGTCAGTTTTTTTTCTACCTAAGAGATTGAGAAGTAAATCCAAACATTTTAAAATCTCTTATAAAAAAATAAACTGATTCATTTTTGGTTGATGTTGACTTAAAACAGAATGCTTATAGTACTGATACTGTCTTGGTGATAACTCTAAGACTATCCCTCTGGGAACACTGCTGGTTTGCCAGCTCAGCTTTGTTAGCAAATAGGAGAACTACAACACACACTTTTGGGATTTTATAGAAATTAACATTAATGAAAATTAATTTTAAAGGCTTTAAAATACTAATTTTGAGAAGACTGTCAATGGGAAAATTAAAAAGTATAAAACAATAAAAAAACAAAAACTGACTGATATAAGTCTTTTTTATTCTGAACTTTCCAAAGTCTTATAACCCTGATAATCTCCAGGTAACACAAGTTAACAGCTAATCCATGGATTAGCTGCAAAAAGGTGTTTCAGATATCAGGTTCAATAAATCTGAGATACTGTTTCTTTTTTCTTAACTTTGTAATACATAAAAATTTCCCTTTCAGTACAAATCTTGAATTCTTTTGTTCACTTGGTGGATTCTTGTTAAAAATCAATACAGTAGACACATTTTTAAGCTTATCTGGCTGCATTGGCCAACTATAAAACTTTAGATGTAAAGAATTCAACACAAAAGGTTAAAAACTGAGAAAGCTTTTCAACTTTTCCATTGGAATTTTAATTCTGTAATACTCTTCTAAAGATCTTATCCAACTTTCTGTGTACATTCAAAGTAAGAGGCAAAAAGATTAGCCCTTACTGTGACAGCTGTGCTAAAGCAAATGAAAGCCAGATAATACCATAGCAGTAGTCTAAGCTGGTAACAAAATCTCTTAACACCAGTTATCAGCTGTTTTAAGATCCATTCAAAGTATTTGAGTCAACTACATTTAACAGGTACTTTTAACTTCTTGTACTGTGTAGTGGTTTCAAGTAAAACTTGTGCATATGATTGAAAAGTTAAATTTTAAAAAACCCAACTTTAAACTTAATGATGGTTTTGGTTTATGACCCTGGGTTATGTTGTGATTCATCTTTGACCCCTGGTTTTTGTGCCAGCCAATTTAGCAGTGGTTGAAAGGTTAAAAAACTTTGAACTTACCTAACATTGGTTTGGTTATCTGACCCTGGGCTACATGTTGTGGTTCATCCTTGACCCCTGGTTCTCCACGCCAACCAACGAGAAGTAAAATGGGAATACTGTATACAGCTGGATTGGCTAAAGACATGAGAGGGTTGACCATGTTCCCTAGACCTGAGTTCTAACAACATTTTATTAAAATTAATTACAATTAGCAATGAAAAAATAAATTATCTCAAACAAAATATCTGAAGTGTTAAGAAAGCAATTAGTTGAGGAAAAATATCAGAAGAATGTGATGAGAAAAAGACTAGTTTTTTTAATTTTCTAAGGGCACAAAATCTCTAACATTAGGATCAATTTTAGTTTTAGTATTGCGGAGTGAATGAAAACCTAGGCCAATTAAACCAATCCTACCAACTAAGATGGATCAAGCTGAATGAAAAAGAAAAATTTCAAATCTCAATGATAGGGTGTCAAGGTTACACCATCGTTATCAAGTTTTAATTTATGAACATCAAGGTGAAAACTGGTATACATGATGGCTAAGACAGGCGCAGTGGAATGACAATCCTACCACTCAAGATGGACATTATCAACTAAGTTAAATCAACTCAGAATCAAAAGACTTCACAGTAATTTATGACGAAATAAGGCTTTCAAAGTTTGACACAAAACTTAAAATGCAATGTTTACTGTTTGCCAATAGCATGCATTTACATGTTTTGATAAATCAGATTGCATTATATGTACAGCAGTAGTACACTTGTCAGTCAAGTCAGGCTGCAATAACTTAGCACAGAGCAGGGGTTGAGGAAAGAATGCAGGTAGCTAGTGGGGGGACGTTAGCAAGATAATGGTATAATTCTTACAATGCAATATGTTGAGAATATTTCTGATTTTTAAGAAACAGAGATTTGTAAAACCATGTGAGACCTGTAAATACACCATGGCAGTACGCCCAGTAGCAAGATGGTAGCCACTTGCCAAAGCTACAGCTGCACCTTCATTGGCAGTGATCACGTGATCCTTATCTGATGATGTAGTCGTTACATAAGCACAAAAATCTGTGGAAGACGATCAATAATACAGGAAATAAACAAACAGTTACAATTTCAGATGTACCCACATACTCTTTCACATTTTTTTTTATACTTAAATTTATTAAACTATGAAAAAAATCAAATTAGAAACTTTAACATATGGTTTGATTTCAGAAAAATAAAATGGATTCATTTCTTGCAGTAACTATTTGATACGTGAGTTAAGTGAAAACAAGGACAAAAAATAAAATCAATATTTTTAATTAACTTTCTCTTCTTAAGTTTATTAAAAGTCAATGAAGGCATCATTTGCTTCAGGGAGTATTGCACACAAAGTGTATATTTTAGGCTAAAATTAAGCTTACACTTTAACATCTATCTGATCATGGTAGACATCAGCATTTTAAAATTATTTCTCAAAAGGAAAATGAACTTTCTCAAATATAACTTAATACTAATCAGAAAAAAGTCTGGTTTACATTACATAGCAAACAAGTTAATTAAAAAGTCTAGTGACAATTTTAGCGCAATTTCCTTATGTTATCTAAAAATAGCTCTGTCGTAGCGTAAATCAAGAGCAGGGTTAGTAAAACCATTGGTTAGTTATTAAAACGTTTTTTATTAAAAATAAATTTCAGTATTTTACATGTTTTATTTACAATAGAGTTACATGACTAAAAACCATTGCGCGCCTAGCTACTGAACGTGATGACGAAGCCATAGAACGTGATGGTGCAGCTATTGAACGTGATGACGCGTGTGGTGTGGTTGGAAAAAATGCCTACTAATTCGGTCCAAATTTTAATTAATTCAAAAAAATTTTTGTGACCGAACGAAAGGATATTTTTGAAAACTTTCTTCGGCAATATTGTTCTAAATTATGGCAGAAATCGATTGGTACATGTTTCAAGTCGCTAAGTGGTCTGGTTGCAGAGATATGGGCAAAAAACTGCTTTTTTTTGAGGTTTTTTGGCTTTTCCGGGAAAACCATGAAAGAAACCCGGACTTTTTATAGCCTATGTTCATCCTCGTAACTTGCTTAACATAATTGCTTTTGGAACTAGTCATCGATATTGCTTCGTTGAGGAGGAGATACGACTTAAAGCTGCGGACACACATCCATCCATTCATTCATTCATTCATACATACATCCAGAAATGACGGGTTAATAAACGCAATTCTCCAGAATGGAAATTGCGCTAAAAAACTTAAAAATAATACAACAATATATATTAAATACTATTTTAAAAATCTTAATTCATTTAAACCTTTCATCATAGACATATTATTCTACCCTAAAAGAGAAAACCATGAATTATGTGTGGAGTAATTCATAAAACCTTCTGCATTATAGTATGAAAGAAAATATTAGGTAAAACATCCTAAAACTGACCTTTTAGCAATGAATCTGGAACACCACAAAAGAAATTAACTCCACTGTCTTTTACAGCTTGGTAAAAAACACCAGGGTCAAGGGGTTTTTGTGTGGGTGACATACAAGCTCCAGTGGTAGAAAAACTTTGACAGTGATCATTCTGTACATGCTGTTTAAAACAGATAAGGGTGGTCAAATCATACAATTTCAATAGAGAAAATTACAATTTAATGTATACAGAAATGCCTGCATTTAATATCTTACTTACACTAGCAGTCTGTAAAAGTGGTGCACTGCGCAAAACCAATCTATGTAGACCACACACAATCCTAACACTGGACATGGCTGTCTGCGAGATATCTAATGATCTTTAAAAATTAACTTGAGTAGCTTTTACTGTAAAACCTGTTTTACCGATAGTGAGTGTAATTGCTGTACTTGTATCTTTTTCTGTGGATAAATAAAAATTTACAGTGATTCATACCAACTATCTTATATATGGATCATAAATTTTTAATTACTTTTTTTCAAAACAAGTTATTTTAGCAGTAACAAGATACTACCATTGATAAAGTAAGCAATAACTTTTATAAACAATTATATGCATGGGTAGATTTCTATATATTTTACTTTGATACATGAAGTGTAGTAATGAATGCTGTTTAAAAACGAGACCTATTTTAATACAGCTGCTATTAATGTCACTTTTAAGTTGGTTCAGTTTCAGTATAAACATATTTATAACTGTTATTTATTTAAAATATACTCTTGCAAATATAATGATGGTTAAATACACACAAAAAATAGATCAATAAATTCTGTTTTTATAAATATTTTCCAATGGTGGAGCAAAGTGGTGTATTATGAACTAAGTTACTGCACTGACTTAATTTTGTGTGAGTGTATTAGTAAAGTCTAGGGATATTTTAATATGGTATAAAATATTTAAATATCAACTCTATTTTGTTATTTAATTCAAACTAAGTATGTAAAAAAAGCATTTGTTTTAGAGCAACAACTTGATACATCTAATCCTACAAATGTTACAATATAAAAATCAATCACTAGCTACAGATGAGAAAGATTAAATTTACAAATGAATTAACACCCACAGAATACCAACACTTTATATATATATATATATATATATATATATATATATATATATATATATATATATATATATATATATATATATATATATATATATATATATTACCTTAAGCTAAAATATATTATACAAACTGAAAATAAATTGTACTTTGAAGCTATTTTAAAAACTGGACTAAGTGACAAAGAAATGTGTGCATCTGCTGCTCTTTCTAAAGAGATCAAGATGCAAGGATCAATAGGATAAAGATTAACTACCATTATACAGGAAGTAAGTTGCTGTTAAAAATGTAGATTTAAAAAAACATTTTTCTTAAAAGTAAAATAAGCTGAATTGGACTACTATTTAACATATAACAATTGAAATGGAATTGAGAGTTATCAATATAACCAGGTCAGAATTATTTTGAAAAAAATCAATAAATTGAAAGTAAACATTTGCCTAGTTCAATTTCCTGTGGGTTTTTTCAGTCTTAATCTACCATACCAAGTACTGATAGTAACATGGTAACACAACACCAGATTACATAAAAACACTAGGCTTGGTGAATGTCTACATTCACTGGGGAAAGCAGACCTATGTAACATTACTAATGGTCTTTATTATGACAACCTTTTAAATGAAATTTAAAAAAGGAAAACAAAAATAAAGTTAATACAAGTATTTGTCACTCTAGAATATCATTTCAATTCTACCAAATACCACCACCATTACTTAAACTGTTAATACCTGTGCTGGTTATGAAATTAAATGCTGGTGATTATAAAGTTTTTTATACTTGTTTTATTTTCTTCTTTTTAATACTTATTTAAATACTAAAGAGGCACAAAAATAAATTGATACATCTGTTGTAAAAACAATTACACTATATTAATATTTATTCTTTACAGTTGATGATTCTCCCTATCTGTTACTGAATGTATTAGTCTTTTTAATACTAACTAGTGTACCTCTCCTGCATGTTAATCACCATAAACAGCGGCCATCTGTAAATTAGAGTGGTTTCCCCCAGAATCTCTAGCTAAAATGTTACCAAAAAACTTAAACAAGATGGCTTCTAAAGTAAATGAGGTTGCATCTGATGAAAACATCGCTAATCTTTATTTATTACTTAAAAGTTTTAAGACAATTGTTTAAAAACATATATTATATATATATGAATAAAGGGTTGAAACATTTCTGTAACTTTTATAACATAAATCTTTCTAAAAATGTGAAATAATTACAAAAATTTGATGAGTCACACTTTTTTCACATTACTAGCCTCGGCAGATTTTACGTAGGCCTACCTAATGTAAAACTCAATTTTAGCGTATTTTATTCCCCGCTTCACGTTCACCTCCAGTTCAGCGTATTTTTTATAAACACAACCAAAACACACAAAAATGTTAGGAAAACACTCGGAATAGAATCATTAGAGGATAGTCTAGATCTAGATATAGATCTAGATCTACTTATTTTTTTTAAAAATGTGTTTTAATTAGAAAAGGTAAAAAATATCATAAATAAGCATTACAGTACAGTTCCAATTAAATAGAAAAAATCTCTACATAGGTCAAAGGTTCACCGTGAGTTCACATACACTTTAATTTTCAGCAGCTGAGTCTGAGCATAGTCATCATAACTAAAAGTCATAGCTTAGCCTCAAGCCTGGCTTAGGGCTTAGTTACTATAGTTACTAGTTAGGGTCATTGTGAGTTCATTTAGATTTTAGATCTAGAACTAGATCTAGAATCTAGATCTAGATCTACTAAGTATTAAGTAAATTTATAAATTTATAGTATCACGAGCTGACCCGCGACGTAGCAAGTAGCATACGTCCTATCTTGTTGTTTTATTTTCTACTTAATAGTACTAGATCTCTAGATTCTACTTATCAACAATATTAATTTATAATTTGAATTAATTTGTGAATTTGACACTACCCCAACCCACCTGCCTTCCACCTCCCCCCCCCCCCAGGTGAAAGCAGCCGTTTACAGATGACAATGAAAATATCAAGCAGATCTTATGGATCTTGATATCTAGATCTAGAATCTAAATCTAGACTTCTAGATTCTAGAATCAGATAGATCTAGAAATCTAGATCTAGATCTAGTTGAGAATGTTGAGATAGATCTCGATCTAGGCCAGGGTCTAACAAAAAGTCGTCTCTAGAGTAATGAATGTAGATCTAGAATCTAAATAAATACTAAGAATATGGAATAATGGATATATCGAAGAAAAAGAGAATGGCCTACCTAATTTTGAAATAACTTCGGGAAGTTATAATCTATCATCAGGCAGAGAGAAAAAATTTGACAAGCACGTTCCCGCAGGCAGCCATGTTCAAAGAGATTATAAGCCGAAAGTGTATTGGAGTTGTCTAACTTCTATTTTTACGGTAAAACCTCTTATTGTTGGTCGATTGCTGATGTGGAGAGGAAACCGAGTTTCTTCCAGGCATCTCTTTTACCCCCCCCCCCCCCAACGAAATGGAGTTTATATAGAAAACATACTTTTACCAGTGTCCGCCCCCCCCCCCCGAAAACATCAAATGCCCCCCACCCCTGGAGAAAAAAGTCTGGTAGAAACACTGAGTGGAAAGTGAGGAAACACGCAAAAATGAATACTTTTTATGCAACTTTTTAGTCAGAGTAAAATTTTATACCTATTCTTATTGATGTTTACAATGTAGATCTAATTGTTATTTAAAAACAACTGCTTGTATTTTTTTTAAAATTAAAAACGTTAAAATAAATAGTTCATAATAGGTAGCCCATAAAGGACGTTACACTACTAATCTAGGGGAGAGAAGTTCGCAATTTTTGACAATGTGTTACGAGGAGTAAGTGAGTATGACGACATACTTTTGCATTTTAAAAAGTAATGTTAATTGATGTTTAGCCGTTATTTCAAGTTTTCAATATACCTTTTTGTGGTAAATTGCATTAGAAATGGATATTGGCTACTTAGCGTTGACCAAACTCAGTAAATATTTTAGAGTTTTTGTGGGGACGGGAAGGTAAAAATCGTTTTAAAAAGCGTGACGTCCAATGGATGATCTCTGACACACAAAAAAACAGAGTTTCTTCCAGGCATCTCTTCACCCTGTAGAAAATCTCTTCCGCCCCCCCCCCCCCCCCCCCCCCACTTTATTTTTTTTTAAGTGCACCCCCGGAGAAAAAAAGTCTGCAAGAAACACTGACAAGAAAGGCCGTATAGGCCGATATGTTTGACACAAAGAGTGTGTAAGCTAACTGTGTTAACTTATAATCCAACCAGTAAGACAGCAGCCATTTGACGCAAATAGAATTTAAAAACTAACACTAGGCACTTGGGCTCTTGGCCTATTTATAACTCTAGGCCAACTCTATACAATCTAACCTTATATAAATAGATCTAACACAATTTAACAAACAAAACGTACGAGAATTCGCCCCCCCCCCTCTCTTTGTGTAAGTGCACGATCCGTTATTAGGCTATAAGCTCCGTGTTCTAGTATGAAGATGTGTCGGCGGTTTCTTCAAATAACAATTGGTCTTTTCAAACGACCCGACGATGCCTCATAATTAAAACAAAAAACACACATAGACTTGTGCACCAGCTATTTTAAAACTTAGAGATCTCCTTGTTGGCCCAAGATTATGTGGATGCGTACTTGTGTAGACAGTACTTTAGGACAGGGGTCTCCAAACTTTTCAGCCCGAGGGCCGCATTAACTATCAAATTTCAGTTCGGGGGCCAGTTTCTTCAATGCATGTCTTTGATTTTTCTGGGCAAAGTTCCTCAGCCATCACTAACAGACGATGTTTCCTTGTACAAAAAGATCTCCGCGGGCCGGATAAGGGGGCTTCGCGGGCCGCATCTGGCCCGCGGGCCGTAGTTTGGAGACCCCTGCTTTAGGATATAGCAGAGGCGTAGCGAGGGGGGGGGGGGGGCGGGGGGTGCGGACCGCACCGGGTGACACCACTTGGGGGGGGGGTGACACCAAGGCAAAAAATAGTAATTTGAGAGGGGGGGGGGTGCAAAATCGAAAGTTCGAGGGGGTGGGGGTTGCAAATAAAAAATTGATAGTTTGTCCCGGGAAGAGTCGCTACGTCCCTGGGGGGGGGGGGGATGACACCATTAAGTGCCGCACCGGGTCACACCCGACCTCGCTACGCCACTGGGATATAGGCCTACAAGTAGGGCCTTTATAAGTAGCCAGCGTGTAGGCTATGGTTATTATCAATGGCGGGACTAGAAAAAAGGCCACCCTCTAGCAAATAATTTCGCCCCCTATATACAGAGGCGTCGCGAGGGGGGGGGGGGGGGGCGGGGGTGCGGAACGCACCGGGTGACACCTTGGGGGGGGGGGGGTGACACCAAGAAAAAAATGCAACATTTATAGAATAAATATGTTTTATGCTAATTCAATGAAAGGTTAATTAGAATTGAAAAGTATTTTAAGTACATAATTACGATCCCGACAAGGGGAGGAAGGGGGTGGTGACACCATGGCGTAAACATGTAAACTATAGAGAAAACCAGTAGCGTCGCTAGGTCGGGTGTCACCCGGTGCGGCACTTCGTGGTGCCCCCCTCCCCCCAAGAAACAAAGTATATATATATATATATATATATATATATATATATATATATATATATATATATATATATATATATATATATATATATATATATATGTATGTATATATATATATATATATATATATATATATATATATATATATATATATATATATATATATATATATATATATATATATATGTATATGTATATATTGGCTGTATGAATGTGTCGGCCTATAATTTAAATATATGCGACCTACGCTTACATGTATGTGTATAAGCTTTAGTCACTGCAGACGTAATAGTGACGATGTTTATCTATGGTCTGTTAATAATACAGTTGGATGTAGCATTGTTTTCTCTATAGTTAGCACGTTTACGTCATGGTGTCACCACCACCCTCTTGTAATAATTGTCGATTTGTACTTAAAATGCTATTTTACTTTAATTAATCATAAATGGAACTGGCAAAAGGCATCTTTTCTGCACTTTTTGCAATTGTTTGCCCTGGTATCACCCCTTAGATTGGTAGATTGTCTCACTGAATTTTAAGTTAAACAATTTCTTAATTTAGCAATTTTTTCTATTTCATTACAAAGTATATCCATCATGAGACAACAAACCACACAGAAATAAGCTCATTTCGGGTCTGAAGTAGCCTATTCGATTTTTAAAAACGTTTACATCTCATCGTATGCAGCCAAAATATGTGAGAAGTGTAGCTTCATCTTCAAGCCGGTCAAAAGTAGCGAATAGAAACACAGAAGCTTTGTTTGTTAAGTAATTGTCGCGTGTTCGATTGTTCTTATGTTGTTGTTTTGTTTGTTTTTATGTATTTATTTATTTTTAATTAATTTGAAATTCCCGTCTACTCCCTCCTGGCAAATAATGTTTCTGATAATCCCATACAATCTCAGTTTTCTTGTTTTGACTATGTTCAGTCAGAGGCGTAACGATGGGGGGCAGGGGGGGGGGGCATCTGTCCCCGGGCGCCGAACTTAGGGGGCGCCAAAATGGGTTGTAAAAACAAATTGAAATGTCATTTTAGCTGCATTTTTGGTGTTTGAGGGGAGGGGGGGGGTGCAGATTGAAAGTTTGAGGGGGGATGCAAATTGAAAATTTGCTCCCGAGGGGGGCGCCAAATTGAAAGTTTGTCCCCGGGCGCCGGGAAGGGTCGCTACGCCTCTGTTCAGTAAGTTCTCAAATGTACCAATCACATCAGTGATACTTTCACGGACCTCTTCATTTATTATGTGAAGTCGGTATGGGATCCCTATGAGTCTGTATTGATACTTTACGGTCTTTGTCTTGTAATCGTACAGACAGACTTTTACCAAATAATGAAATAACATTTGTTTACAACGAAATGTCGCTAAAGTGTGCTTAACAAGACGCATGTAGAGTAGTCAGTCCAGAGGCGTAGCCGGGAAGGGGGGGGGGGGGTGACACCAAGGCAAAAAATAGCAAAATATATAGAGAAAAATTTGAGGGGGGGTGCAAATCGTAAGTTTGAGGTGGGGTGCAAATCGAAAGTTTGAGGGGGGGGGGGTGCAAATCGAAATTTTGAGGGGGGGGGGGGGGTGCAAATCGAAATTTTGAGGGGGGGGGGGGAAATCGAAAGTTTGAAGGGGGGGGGGGTGCTAATCGAAAATTGAAAGTTTGTCCCCGGGAAAGGTCGCTACTGGGGGTGACACCATTAAGTGCCGTACCGGGTGACACCCGACCTCGCTACGCCACTGAGTCAGCCTAATCTCATCCCGTAAAGGATAAACATGTCTGAAACATTTTTTAAAAATGTTTCTGGAGACTCATGTATTGATTATCTGTTTATTTTTTTTTTCTTGAAACTCAGGCCTACGCATTTGGTTTGGTAGAGCCAACAGCTCACAACAAGTCTACATGAAAAGGTTTAGGTATGTGGGGGGGGGGGGGGGGCGTTCATAAATGAAGTCCCCCCACTGATTTTTTTAAAGCGATTTCTTTCTAAACTATTATCTGAGCTGAGACAACATCAGCTATACTGATCTACTTTTATTACAATTAACAAACACTTCTTTTGAAATACAACATAGATCTGAATGTATTTTTTTTAAAGTTACATCATCTTTCTCAACACGCTCACCTCGTCACACATCATCACAAAAGTCCAAACCCACCAATCCAGAGTTTCTTACAGGCATCTCTTGGGGGGGGGGGGGGGGCTTCGCTTTTGTGCATTGTGATTCTCATCGATTAGCCATACCCGCATATTTGTGTTGAGTATCGACGATCGCAAACGCACCCAAACCTCAAATCTCTTCTAACTTCTATAAGCGTAGGCTTACACCTGAACCTAAGTAGCTTCAATCCCAAGCTTAACATTGTTCTAGCCTGCACAAATGCGATTAAAACCAATCGATTAGAACCACATGGGACACTTGTATGTAAGCTACCCCAGCTATTATAGTTTTGTAAGCTCTGATAATGCAGCTCGCTGAGGTCAAATATGTTGTGTTATATTTGTTTCCTTAAGGTATCACGACGTGCAAACAATGTATACAGTTTGTGCGCACCAATTATGACGTTTTACACATGGTGTGTAAACAATGTCGAGAACGAAACCATTACAATAAAGATCAACTGACATTAGAAAATTAAAATGGATGGTAAATTTTAAATCATTAGTATAAATTGCTTTTAAAATATTATGTTTGCTGTTCACAGTATACCACAGAAATAAAGTTAATATCTTAATAGAGAAATTACAAAAATTACATAACGATAAATTTTATAGACTACAAGAATCTATAGAAGTGTACACAGCACTAGATCTAGATCTAAATGGAGACAAGCGAGTTGACGAGATTCCTTCCATAGTGTTGTTGACATGGAATAAAAACGTGCTTTTTAGATTTAGACCGTAAAAAAAATAAAAAATAAAAACTTAAGCCTAAAATTAATTTAGAAATTTTATATTTTTAGAATAAATGCTATAAAAGTTGCAAATCCAGTGAACTTGAAAATAAATTGTTGAGTTTAAGGCTACATTTCTATTTATTTTCATCAAGCCTAAGTTATAACCGGATGTTTCACTTTCGTAAGACAAATATTGATTGGCTGTACAGTAACTTAGTGATCGATAACTATTTGTTTACAAAACTTTGCAGATCAAGTTTTTAAATAACAATGCAAATTTAAAACCCCATGACCTAGTTTTCTATTTTTAGCTTACAATGTGTACAATAAAATGTATGTCGGCCTATCCAATAGCAGGATGCCATTGTTTATGTCGCCATTACACGTGAAAACCAAATTGTTTTTGCTTGTTTTTAAATTTTTATTTAGTTACCGAAAATATTAAAAACATCAAATACGTCCAATCTTTAGTAAAGTCCGAAAAAAACAGACAGACAGGATTTTATAACCATATTAATTGTAACTACGCCGTGCAAGATTTTTAAATTAATTTATGCACCTCTCAAATACCTTTGAGACTTTTCTCGCTTGTGTCCATTGGTAGGCCTACATAGACTAAAATTTGTATTTATTTGTAATTATAATAATAATAAACATATATACATATATAGGTTATATATATATATATATATATATATCACCAGGAAATACAACACATCAAAAACAAGTTGTGTTAGCGAACCGTGAAGTAGACGAAGAAGAGGCTTTGGAGATAATTCTTTATGGTTTCATTTTCCTCATCATTGGACGTAAGTGTTCATTCACAACCACCCATTCGACGTTACTATTTATCACCTCAGGTGGGATGTAATAAATGATGTATACACCATGGAATGTAAGCATTCACCCCATTCCATGGAATGTAAGCATTCACCCCATTCCATAAGATGTAAGCATTCACCCCATTCCATGGGATGTAAGTATTCACCCCATTCCATAGGATGTAAACATTCACCCCATTCCATGGGATGTAAGTATTCACCCCATTCCCCCATTCCATAGGATGTAAGCATTCACCCCATTCCCCCATCCCATAGGATGTAAGCATTCACCCCATTCCCCCATTCCATAGGATGTAAGCATTCACCCCATTCCATGGGATGTAAGTATTCACCCCATTCCCCCATTTCATAGGATGTAAGCATTCACCCCATTCATTAGGATGTAAGTATTCACCCCATTCCATGGGATGTAACCATTCACCCCATTCCACGGGATGTAAGTATTCACCCCATCCCATAGGATGTAAACATTCACCCCATTCCATGGAATGTAAGCATTCACCCCATTCCATGGGATGTAAGTATTCACTCCATTCCATGGAATGTAAGCATTCACCCCATTCCATGGAATGTAAGCATTCACCCCATTCCATGGGATGTAAGTATTCACTCCATTCCATGGAATGTAAGCATTCACCCCATTCCATGGAATGTAAGCATTCACCCCATTCCATGGAATGTAAGTATTCACCCCATTCCATGGGATGTAACCACATCCCATTCCATGGAATGTAAGTATTCAGCCCATTCCATGGTATGTAAATATTCACCCCATTCCGTGGGATGTAAGTATTCACCCCATTCACTAGGATGTTGTATCTGTCTCCCATTGATGGTTTACAGTACAACCTAACCAGTCTTTGGTTCAAGATGTGTCTCCCATTGATGGTTTACAGTACAACCTAACCAATCTTTGGTTCAAGATGTGTCTCCCATTGATGGTTTACAGTACAACCTAACCAATCTTTGGTTCAAGAAACAGCTGTGGCTGGGAATTTTTCTGTTAGACTTTTTCTCCCCGGAGGGGGGGGGGGGGATTATAAGAATGGTTAAAGTATATATTATGTATTTAGATTTGTTTTTTTTTCACTCTATTTAGCCCCCCCCCCCTCTCCCTCCCTCCCGAGAGATTGCTGCAAGTAACATCTGAGCGGGTATTTGTATTATATTTATACAGTGCAGTTCACCTAAAAAGTTTTCTGATTGTGTTAGTTTTACACGTGAGAGGCCTCTTGCGCTTCAAGAAAGACATTCACACCTTAGCCGGATTGTTTAGGCGGCTATATTAAGTAGCCTGACTATATCTGACTCTATCTACTTGGTTAACTAACTTCGCCACCATCTTACATCCCAAGGCTCTACAGCCCATAGAGGGCGCTAACTCGTTTTGACGTAGCTCTGTCTTCAATGTTTCTTTCAGACTTTTTTCTCCGGGGTGAGGGGGGGGCGGTATAAATTTTTGGGGAGGAGGGAACACTAGTAAAAGTATATAACGTCTATATACTTTCTATTTCGGGGAGTGAGGGGGGGGGGAGAGAAGAGGGGCCTCCGAGGAGATGCCTGAAAGAAACACTGTCTCGTGTCGTACACTATCTCCTCTGTGATTCACTGAGTTCCTTTATTTTACAAAGTTCTAGTTCTATGGGGTTTTTCTGTATTTCATAAGAAACAAGAAGCAGCTCTGTGTTTGTATTCGCCAGATATTTTTTTAGGATGTTTCCCACGTATTCAATAGGCTGTCTGAAGCATTCGTTGGTCCAGTTTTTCTTGGCTTACATTATCACTGGTCTTATTAGGTTTGATATGTTGTATTCATTGTGCTCCTATTGACGCAATCGCCTAGCTGTAATACAGTTAACATTCTAGGCCATTTAGGACAATGAACTGCTAGGGTCTCGTGACTTTGTTAAATTTAATTGTCGGTCAAAGTAACTAGGCCACAAGACACACTGCCACACGCACATTTAAAATCAAGACATACCCACCCATTTACAGGCGATACACGAACACTTACGCTGACCACACGCACACATATAATGATGATATACGCACACTCACTTCTCATGGTGATGCAAGCATTGAAAGGGGATACACTCTCATTTCTAACGGTGATACAGGCATATTTTACACGGCGATACACGCACCTATTTAAAGGTTATACATGAACGCATCTCATGGTGATACACTCACATCTAATGGTGATACACGCACTCTTCTAGTGGTGATACCGACTTTTCTGGATGCGGTACATGTACACTTAACTTGGTGTCACATAGACGTTTCTGACGCACGATACTAATGGTTATACACACACGATACAAATGGTTATCCACACACGATACTAATGGTTATACACACACGATACTAATGGTTATACACACACGATACTAATGGTTATACACACACGATACTAATGGGTATACACGCACGATACTAATGGTTATACACACACGATACTAATGGTTATACACACACGATACTAATGGTTATACACACGATACTAATGGTTATACACACACGATGCTAATGGTTATACACACACGATACTAATGGTTATACACACACGATACTAATGGGTATACACACACACGATACTAATGGGTATACACACACGATACTAATGGTTATACACACACGATACTAATGGTTATACACGCACGATACTAATGGTTATACACACACGATACTAATGGTTATACACACACACGATACTAATGGTTATACACACACGATGCTAATGGTTATACACACACGATACTAATGGGTATACACACACGATACTAATGGTTATACACACACGATACTAATGGTTATACACGCACGATACTAATGGTTATACACACACGATACTAATGGTTATACACACACACGATACTAATGGTTATACACACACGATACTAATGGTTATACACACACACGATACTAATGGTTATACACTCGATACTAATGGTTAAACACACACGATACTAATGGTTATACACACACGATACTAATGGTTATACACACACACGATACTAATGGTTATACACACGATACTAATGGCGACACACATATACTTGAAGCTGATACGCGCTATTGTTTTGATTTGAACTATCGTAACACTTGTCAAAGGCTGTTCATTGTAGAGGTTTTTTGTTATTTTATTGATTACAGGCATTAGTTCTAGTTGTTAACCCCGCGTGTGTGTGTTGTGTGTTCGAGCCTAGGACTGAACAGGGTGATGTTGTGTCACGTGATACGTTGTAAGCCGCGTGTCGCAAGGTGGCGGGCCCCACTAAACAACAAGGATGAAAAGCCCGTGCTAATCCGATCCAGCGGTTATCAATAGCCACTTCCAACACGTGGAGGGGGAGGGGTGGGGGTATCAGCTGATACTGCACATGTGCACGTGGAGCAAGACACGTGGCAGCAGAAGACAAGACATTGGTGAATTGACTTTTGCTGAGACATTTCATCCCGCGACCCATCAGATGTCAGGATAGACGCAGGACGGGGGTGGGGGTGGGTTCGTTGGGGCGTGGCTATTCTCCCTCCCCGTCCACGTTCACCTAACGTCACAATAACATGTCAACAGCTCCGGTGGCTATTGAAAAGTAGAGGCCGAGCAGCTGTAGATTCGAGGCTAATCCTGGATGCCGTCACCAATACAATGGGGTTGGCGACTGCTGTTGGGGTCGCTGACCCCTGTTTGATTGGTGGGGTTCTCTCCTGTAAAACTTATTTGTTTATTTGGCTTTACTCAAATGTTAGGACAATTTTGTACTCGTTTTTTTTTCTTCTGGTCTTATGACATCCGTCCCCACCCCCTACAGTAGGGCCCATTACACACACATTATTTCAACATAATTATACACACACACACTTTGTTTCAACATCATTATTAATTATACACAGATTAGCCCAATATATTGTTAGAAACATTTGGTTAGAATTGGGATAACTTTTTAAGGGTGTGTTTAGGTTGGATTGCAGCTATAATGTGCCATTTTAAGAGGGTCTGGCTTTTCGTAACGACAAATGAGGCTGAGGGTAAAATATGTCCACATGGCATGACGTCATATGGACAACCGCAATTGAAAATTAAAATATCGCGATCTTCTGTTCTAAATTGGTGTATGTAGGGGAATTAACTGTTTATTTAACAAACTAGTCTCATTATTACGTCCCCTTTTGATACAGTTACCAGTCGAATGCTCTGCTCTTTGGTGCAGTATCCGCTCAACCATCATGTGCCGATTGTCATTGCAGGATTCATCATTGGTAGGTACAATATGAGTAGTCTTATTCATCATTGGTAGGTACAATATGAGTAGTCTTATTCATCCTTGGTAGGTATAATATGAGTAGTCTTATTCATCATTGGTAGGTACAATATGAGTAGTCTTATTCATCCTTGGTAGGTATAATATGAGTAGTCTTATTCATCATTGGTAGGTATAATATGAGTAGTCTTATTCATCATTGGTAGGTACAATATGAGTGGTCTTATTCATCATTGGTAGGTACAATATGAGTGGTCTTATTCATCATTGGTAGGTATAATATGACTAGTCTTATTCATCATTGGTAGGTACAATATGACTAGTCTTATTCATCATTGGTAGGTATAATATGACTAGTCTTATTCATCATTGGTAGGTACAATATGAGTGGTCTTATTCATCATTGGTAGGTATAATATGACTAGTCTTATTCATCATTGGTAGGTACAATATGAGTGGTCTTATTCATCATTGGTAGGTACAATATGAGTGGTCTTATTCATCATTGGTAGGTACAATATGAGTGGTCTTATTCATCATTGGTAGGTACAATATGAGTAGTCTTATTCATCATTGGTAGGTACAATATGACTAGTCTTATTCATCATTGTTAGGTACGATATGAGTGGTCTTATTCATCATTGGTAGGCACAAAATGAGTGGTCTTATTCATCATTGGTAGGTACAATATGAGTGGTCTTATTCATCAATGGTAGGTACAATATGAGTAGTCTTATTCATCATTGGTAGGTACAATATGACTAGTCTTATTCATCATTGGTAGGTATAATATGACTAGTCTTATTCATCATTGGTAGGTACAATATGAGTGGTCTTATTCATCATTGGTAGGTACAATATGAGTGGTCTTATTCATCATTGGTAGGTACAATATGACTAGTCTTATTCATCATTGGTAGGTATATTATGACTAGTCTTATTCATCATTGGTAGGCACAAAATGAGTGGTCTTATTCATCATTGGTAGATACAATATGAGTAGTCTTATTCATCTTTGGTAGGTATAATATGAGTAGTCTTATTCATCATTGGTAGGTACAATATGAGTGGTCTTATTCATCATTGGTAGGTACAATATGAGTAGTCTTATTCATCATTGGTAGGTACAATATGAGTGGTCTTATTCATCATTGGTAGGTACAATATGACTAGTCTTATTCATCATTGTTAGGTACGATATGAGTGGTCTTATTCATCTTTGGTAGGTACAATATGAGTGGTCTTATTCATCATTGGTAGGTACAATATGAGTGGTCTTATTCATCATTGGTAGATACAATATGAGTAGTCTTATTCATCATTGTTAGGTACGATATGAGTGGTCTTATTCATCTTTGGTAGGTACAATATGAGTGGTCTTATTCATCATTGGTAGGTACAATATGACTAGTCTTATTCATCATTGTTAGGTACGATATGAGTGGTCTTATTCATCTTTGGTAGGTACAATATGAGTGGTCCTATTCATCATTGGTAGGTACAATATGAGTGGTCTTATTCATCATTGGTAGGTACAATATGAGTGGTCTTATTCATCATTGGTAGATACAATATGAGTAGTCTTATTCATCATTGGTAGGTACAATATGAGTGGTCTTATTCATCATTGGTAGGTACAATATGAGTGGTCTTAAACTTAGTATCAGTTTGATAGGCCTACAATTCTCTTAAACTAATACAAATTGTGTAAACGATGTAAAAGATGTTACTACATGATGTAAAAGATGTTACTACATGATGTAAAAGATGTTACTACATGATGTAAAAGATGTTACTACATGATGTAAAAGATGTTACTACATGATGTAAAAGATGTTATCCCTGTTCTCTATCAAGGGGAGTTGTCCTACTACTTCCCAAGGCTTGAAGATCCTATGCTGATCAATCATATTGGACCCCTCCGCTTCTTCTACCTGTACATTCCACTTCTGATATTTGACGGGACCTTTAACGCTGAGGTTCACTATCTCAAAGTGATGGTGTATCATTTTGTCTTGGTGGTGATTCCAACTTTAGGTGAGTTATAGCATACACACTTGGTCTGGTCAACTTTAGGTGAGTTATAGCATACACACTTGTTCTGGTCAACTTAGGTCAGTCAGCTAATGATATGAAAATAATTACAGCTTATGAAATAAAGCAATGAAAACACATCAAAAACTGGTGACGCCAGTTACTGAAACAAAGTGATTAAAAAAAAGAACATTTTTTAGCCAGAAACATTTATATCGCTCTAGATGTATATAAATATCAGATTGGAGATTTTTTTTGTATTATCATTCACTGTAATTAACTTCAAATGCAAGTTCTTGAAGAGTTGTAAATAAATGTATTCACTTTTGATTCAGTACACTTTTACAATTGGACAATTGGTAGCTAATAGAACGATAAAATCATATATCTTATGATGAATAACTATTGTTCAAAAAAGTACCAGAGGTTTTTGAATGATTTCAGTTGTGACATCAGTTATTGTGACATTACCAGAGATTTTTGAATGATTTCAGTAGTGACATCAGTTCAGAGTTTCTTCCAGGCATCTCTTAAAAAATTTTACCACCCCCCACGAACGAAATGAAATTTATATAGTTTATATAGAAAATATATACTTTTAACAGTGTCCGCCCCCCCCCCCCTCCCCGAAGAAAGTCTACCGCCCCCCCCCCGAAAATTTCAAGTGCCCCCCCCCCCCGGAGAAAAAAGTCTGGAAGAAACACTGCATCAGTTATTGTGACATAACCAGAGATTTTTGAATGATTTCAGTTGTGACATCAGTTATTGTGACATGCATTGGGATCTACTTGCTACCCCTAGACTGGAATACTGGAGACTTTATTATGATGGTCTCCATGACAATGACCAGTGGGCCACAAGTGACCAAAAGGTTTCTTTCATCAATGAGTAAGTTCTATATGTACACCTTCAATATTTTATTGAACTGAAATGGATGTTGCTACCAATGTTGTCATTTAAACCAAACACTGGTACACAGGTTCCCAATTTAAGTGTGGGTCATAACGGGTCTTTTTTGGGGGTCACAGTAAATTTTAAAAAAATATTTACCATAATGAAATTTTTACTTTAATGGTGTCTTGAATTTTAAATAATTTCATAATGTAAAAGAAAATTAAAATTAGTGGTCACGGACTATTGTATGAAAGAAGTTGTCAGGTGAAAAAGGTGGGACACTTTTCTAGTGGGTTAAAAAAATATAAATAAAATTAAATCTTCATTGAGCGAATATGGGTGGGGTTCTACAAAAATATGAGTTTGAGTGTATTTGTGTGTGTGTGCATTAGTTACATGAAATATTAAGTACCATTTTTAAAAAACAGTATTATAATAGTTTATTTTATGACATTCACAATATGAAGTCACTAATTGGCCTGTATAAATATAGCCCATGCTTGCTTTATCAGACATATTATTATGAGATTTGAATTATTTAACTTCCTTATACAAAGAGCTCTCCTACTACAGGTGCAGAGCATGACCTTAAGATGATGCTGGACTCAGAATCCATACTGGGCAACATACTGGGATTCACTCTCTATAGATTTATAACCCTTCACACCATTTTAAGAAATTGTAAGTTTAAAATCTCAAGACAACACTAACTTTGTTATTGAATTGTAACCTCACTTTTAAAAAAACTTTTATTAAATTAGGTTAGCAACTAAGCAATGCTGTTCCTGTCATTAGATAGTAGATAAATAAAAAATGATGTAATAGATAAATAAAGATAAATAACAAATGATGAGTCGTATTATGAACTGCATGCAACAGCTAGGGAAGTTAAAAAAAAGTTTTACCTATGGCTATTTGAATGTAAGATGTACAAAAAAAAATCTGTTGTGTTGGAGAATTTTTTTTTAAAGAGCGTTTCTATAATATAGTGTGGTGAAGAGTGTGTGAGTGGTGAAAAGAAATTGAGTGGTGGTGAGTACGTGTTGTGGTGTCATTTTTGTGGTGAGCATGTGTGGTAAAGAGTGTGTTGGAGATGGTTTGTGTGGTAAGGAATGTGGTAGAAGTATTGTAATGGAGTGTTTGTGTTATGGTCAGTATTTATATGTGATGGAGGGTGTGTAGTTGAAGGTTGTGGTAAAAGTTACTTGTATGGTGAAGTTGTATCATTGCGAATGCATCATTGTTTATTGCTGTGTTGTGATGTGTTTGCTCTGTAGCATTTTCAGGAGAGTTGAGTATGTTAATTATGTTTTTACTTTATTTTTATTAAACCATACATTAGAAATAATGTAAATTTGAAAAGGCATATGCTAATCGATCATATGAACTATTTTTTATATTAAACAATTCATTAAAAATACTTTAAATTTGAAAGTTTTTGAAAAAAAACATATACTCATTTATCATATTCCTATGATAGTATATTTTAGACCTATGCTGATTTATCATATTCCTATGATAATATATTTTAGACCTTTGCTTTCCCACAATGCAGTTTTCAACCTGATACCTTTCTTCTTTGATGCTTGTTTTGGATTTATTTTGGGAATCATTATTGGCAAGATTATGATCTTTTGGCTCAGTAAGATCTTCAAAGATCATGTAAATCAAACAGCAATTGTTTTAGCCTTTATCTATTCATCATATGCCTTATGTGAGTTTTCTAAGTCCTTTACCTAATGCTAATTTATTTATTTATTTGCAATTTAATGTAAATTCATGTTTAGATTTTTGAGCTAAAATTTGTCTTAACTTAAATGTTAAAAAAAGTTGTTTGTATCTGTTTTTAAAAACAATCTTTTTGACTTGGTGTTTTATATATGTCATGAAATGAATACTTTATCTTTTGCTAAGGTATTTTACTAAAAGTCTCAGGCTTGATATGCATGCTAACCATGGCTTTAGTTTTGGCACACAAAAGGGCCAGTATGACAACTCAGTCTATCACCATTCTCAACAAGTAATTATTGTTAAAAAATTATTATATTTTTTTCAATTTCATCTATTTAAATCTTTTTAGCGCAATTTCCTTACAGGAATTGCGATTATTAACTCGTCATTTCCGTATGGATGGATGGATGGATGGATGTGCGCAGCTTTAGATCGTATCTCCTCCTCAACGAAGCAATATCGAGGACTACTTCCAAAAGCAAATATGTTAAGCAAGTTCCGAGGATGATTGTAGCCCAAAAAAATTCCCGGAATTCCTTCCTGGATTTCCCGGAAAAGCCAAAAAACCTCGAAAAAATCCTCGAAAAAATGCAATTTTTGGCCCATATCTCGGCAACCAGACCACTTAGCGACTTGAAACATTTACCAATCGATTCCTTCCATAATTTTGAACAATATTGCCGAAGAAAGTTTTCAAAAATATCCTTTCGTTTGGTCACAAAAAATTAATATCTTCTAATTTGTATTGGCTAAGATTACTAAGAATATACAAATATTTCTGCCACAAGCACACCGGCTGAGGCAGTCGCTAGTGAGAGGTAACGTCACGCTGCCATTGGCCAGACTCGCGCAGATCTTGCGAGGGGGCGGGGACTAGCTCTGCTCGCGTAGATAGAAACGAAAAGGGGTGCAAACATCTACGGGTGATTCGTTCAGTCACAAAAAATTAATTAAGGAAATTGCGCTTAAATTGTCACTAGACTTTTTATTAACTTGTTTTAAATGTATTGCCTTTTGATAATTACAATAATGTTGTTTAATTAAAACTTGTTGTAAAATTTTATAGTTTTTAAAAGTCTGAAGATGTTTGAAAAGCATGAAATAATTTTCTTCATAAAATTAAATAAAATTAGGAAAGAAAACCCAATGTATGTTTGTTTACAGGGAAGAGATTTTTTATTTAAAAAAAAAAACTTTTTTTCCCCAGATTTATGGAGCTGTCACTGTTTATGTTTACATGTGTGGCAGCAGTGCAGGCAGGAATTTATCTTGCCACTGTAGTCCAGACTGTCATCACTTTTGAAGTGTTTTTTATTGCTGTTGGTTTCTACATCCTGTCTTCACTGCTTCGGTACGTCCAAACACATTTTTTATTGCTGTTGGTTTCTACATCCTGTCTTCACTGCTTCGGTACGTCCAAACACATTTTTTATTGCTGTTGGTTTCTACATCCTGTCTTCACTGCTTCGGTACGTCCAAACACATTTTTTATTGCTGTTGGTTTCTACATCCTGTCTTCACTGCTTCGGTACGTCCAAACACATTTTTTATTGCTGTTGGTTTCTACATCCTGTCTTCACTGCTTCGGTACGTCCAAACACAAATAAATATAAAAGTATACAAACTTTATAATAGGTTAACAATGATGTATAAATACCAACTTTATAATACTTTAACAATGATGTAAAACAATTAACTTAATTTTTCTACCAGGGCAATGGTACTGTTTGCCACCTACCCCTTGTCCAGGTATTATCTACACAATTGGTCTCATGTCTACATAATGTGTGCCTGTCACCTCAGGACAACTTACTCATGTGTGTTTGCATTTTTGGTGCTACAAAGAGAACAAACTACAAGTGTCAAAATTGTGAGCTTTCATTTCAGACACTTTTTTAAAACTTTAAATGTATAGATGAGTAGTCTATATATATAAATATAAATATATAAATAATATATATATATATATATATATATATATATATATATATATATATATATATATATATATATATATATATATATATATATATATATATATATATATATACACTAATGCACACACACTCATATGCTTATGCATACACATATACACACGTGCCCATATGCATACAAAGGCATCTAACCCCCTTAACAACCCATGGCCTAATATATAATCAGTTCATATTCTATATGTACATTTTTTTCTTGCCAGCTTTTTTCTGTGACTCTAATACAAATCCTGATTTCCTGCATTGTCAACTATGCCCTGGCAACTTATGTCATCAATGTCATTAGTGAGTAATTACACTAACAAGTAGTCTTTATATCTCTCTTTATCTATGTATGAAAAGCAATGCATGTGTGTGTGCATTTGTTTGTCTTTTATGCATTACTACACCTTACATCCGATGACATGAAACTTTGGGAAGTTGTTGAGAATAATCCTGGGGAGGTATCTAAGAAAAAAAATTCAATTTCACACGCCAGCAGGTTGCGATTTGGCACCCAGGGCTTTCCCCTGAGTGCTATGGTGCCTTTGTTCATTTTAAACAGTGTGATAGACTAAGGATAAGATGGGGTGCTATGGTTGTTCACTGAATTGAATAAGGCGCGTCCATGATTTGCCTGGGCTAACCTCAGACTTTCTTCTAGCCACGCAGCAAAGCGCAGAGAGGAGCTCACTAATATATATATATATATATATATATATATATATATATATATATATATATATATATATATATATATATATATATATATATATACTAGCTGCATCCCGTGCTCCGCCACGGTAAATCTTTTTAAATGTACTAACTTGGGAACAGAACAAAACTAAACACAACACAAACGAACGCAAAAAAACAAAAAAAAAAAAAAAAACGAAAAAACAAACATAACACTCATAACATAAACACAATTTAAATGCAATCATACAGGCATATTGCTCACAGTCTAGCCCGTAGCGCCAAATCGCGCCCTTTCCGGTGATTTGCACCCCCCTCAAACTTTCGATTTGCACCCCTTCCCCCCCTCCCCGCCCTAAAACTTTCGATTTCCACCACCCCCCCCCCCCCTCGCAAATTTTTTCCAACCCACTTTGGCGCCCCCTAAGGTCGGCACCCGGGGACATATGCCCCCCTCGCTACGCCTCTCCTATAAAACCCGAAAGATAGAATAATAATTAGAAATCAGTATAAATAATAGGCAGTATTTAAAATATCTGTGTTTTACCTACAATATTTCACTTTATCCATTCACGCATTTTTTTTCCAGTACTTTAAATTTTAAAAATTTACAATAGAGTTTCATAACTAAAACCATTGCGCACCTAATGAACGTGATGACGCGTCTATAATAGTGCTGAATAGTTGATTAAAAATTATAAGTAATAAACAGTAGGGCCTACATTCAGTGAATAAAATAAATAAAAGATTGCCTTTTCTCAATCCATGCTAATTATAATTTTCTAACAATAATTTCCTCTTACACATCCGAATAATTTGCATTCACATTTTGCTGATTATATTATTGCAACACTAATTCCTTCTATGACGAACGTATATTTGCATTCACATTTTTTATTAGCGTGAGTTTAATGTATTTTTAAATTACCTCCTTTGTCAAAATTAGAAAAGAGTTAAATTCATTTGATTTTTCTAACCTACAGTTATTATGTTATTAAAATGTATCCACTTTGTCTAGGAATATTAACGAAAACTATATTTGACATTGATCCTTTTAATATGTTTTAGCAATGTGCGTGTATTTAATATTCTCTTTACGTTATGCAAAATTGTACAAACAGTGGAAATTATAAAATAGCTCTATGCCGCTATATAAACAAACCCTACTCTAATACTTATAATAAGACACTGCGGTGCACTGAAAAGCACTTCATGGCGCGATGTTTACTTTTATGGTTCCAAAAGCTATAGCGATGACGGAAGGAAGGAAGGAAGGACTGACACACTACCAGCAGCGTTATATTATAGATATATATATATACGAGAAAAATGGCCCGTTGAGGAAGGATACACCGGGCGCTAGGTTGATAGTGCTGTCTCTTTTCTCTAAACTAAAACCAACCCACCCCCCCCCACACACACACCACCCCCACCCCCACCCCCACCCCCACCCCCACCCCCCCACCCACCCCCACCCCCCAAAAAAACATGTCTACCGTCCCATTCAGCGAAATATAATTATATACTTTTTCCAGTGTCCGCCCCCTCCCCGAAAATTCTACCCCCGCCCCCGAAAATTTCAAGTACCCCACCCCTCTCCGGGGAGGAAAAAGTCTGAAAGAAACACTGGGTGTCGAGCTTAGCCACTACGCGAAGAATTGCATTAAAGAAATTGCGAGAAAACCACTTTTTAGATTAGACACATTAATTAGGCGGTAATTTTATTATAGAGTATCGATGAGGAAACCACCCCACCCCACCCCCCCCCCCCCCCCACCCCACCCCCCCCCCCCCACCCCCCACCCCCACTCCCAAAAAAAACATGTCTACCGTCCCATTCAACGAAATATAATTATATACTTTTTCCAGTGTCCGCCCCCCTCCCCGAAAATTCTACCCCCGCCCCCGAAAATTTCAATTACCCCCACCCCTTTCCGGGGAGGAAAAAGTCTGAAAGAAACACTGGTGTCGCGCTTAGCCACTACCCGAAGAATTGCATTAAAGAAATTGCAAGAAAACCACTTTTGAGATTAGACACATTAATTAGGCGGTAATTTTATTATAGAGTATCGATGAAGAAATTTCTTTTGAGTTGGGGAGGGGGAGGGGCTCAGACGTTCTTACGCGGGGGGTGGGGCTTCGCCCCTACCCGAAGAATTGTATGCAAGAAACTCTTCACGCAAACCACTTAGATTAGACAACATTTCCTCTTTATTCAATGTTTACGCCAGAATCAATGACGTCATTATATTACTGCGAGATTATTTTCAACTCTATGCTAAATGTGTCGACGTCATACTTCGTTTTTCGAATTACTATGCATGTTTTTAAATTGCTTGTCTTTTCTCTAGAGCGTTCTTGTCAGATAGATAGATAGATAGATAGATAGATAGATAGATAGATAGATAGACAGACAGCGAAACTATTATTATAGATATATATATATATATATATATATATATATATATATATATATATATGTATATGTATATATATATATATATATATATATATATATATATATATATATATATATATATATATATAAATATATTTATATATATTTATATACATATATATATATATATATTATATATATATATATATATATATATATATATATATATATATATATATATATATATATATATATATATATATATATATATTATATATATATATATTATTATATATATTATATATATATATATATATATAATATTATAATACTGTAATGCTCTCTAATGTTCTGTTATGCAGACAGAAGGACCCTCAGTGCTGAAAAAGCTCATATGGTGGAGAAGGCTGCCAAATTGCTTCAGGACCTCAAGCTTGTTACAAGTCATTCTCTTAAAACCACAATGTAATGATTTCATTCATGTTTTCACTACTCTTATTTACACTGCCCTATTTGATATGTAACTATCATTATCTACTACAATTAGGATATTTGATGAATGAAGATGATTCATTGCTATCAAACAGGAAAGATAATTTCTAGTGACAGTAACAATTTTACGCATTCCTGTGGCAAGAGTTAGTAACATAACCAAATCACTTTTACAATAATTTATAATTGTAATTACTAATGGGATTTAATGAGTTTTAACAGTGAGTTGGGTGAGTAAAAGGATTAAATAATTGCTAGCAATTACATTCTGTAATACACTTGGTTACTGACTCAATTCACGTCAATAATAGGACTAAACAATAATAGCACGCCATTAAATTGAAAAATTACATGGTACAGTACCTGCACATACGTTAGCTCTGATGGAGAGAAATTGTGGCCCATAAGTTAGCTCTGATGGAGAAAAATTGTGGCCCATAAGTTAGCTCTGATGGAGAGAAATTGTGGCCCATAATTTAGCTCTGATGGAGAGAAATTCTGGCCCATAAGTTAGCTCTGATGGAGAGAAATTGTGGCCCTTAAGTTAGCTCTGATGGAGAAAAATTGTGGCCCATAAGTTAGTTCTGATGGAGAGAAATTATGGCCCATAAGTTAGCTCTGATGGAGAGAAATTGTGGCCCATAATTTAGCTCTGATGGAGAGAAATTCTGGCCCATAAGTTAGCTCTGATGGAGAGAAATTGTGGCCCATAAGTTAGCTCTGATGGAGAGAAATTGTGGCCCATAAGTTAGCTCTGATGGAGAGAAATTGTTGCCCATAAGTTAGCTCTGATGGAGAAAAATTGTGGCCCATAAGTTAGCTCTGATGGAGAGAAATTATGGCCCATAAGTTAGCTCTGATGAAGAAAAATGTCTGTATCGGCACTCAGATTCTATTCTCAATGTCTGGCAGGTTTACAGCTGATGCAGATTGGAACACAGTGAACCAGTACACAAAACTCAAGGAGGATTTTATGAACAAATATAAAGGGAAGACTTGGGTAAGATTTGATGAACAAATATAAAGGGAAGACTTGGGTAAGATTTTATGAACAAATATAAAGGGAAGACTTGGGTAAGATTTGATGAACAAATATAAAGGGAAGACTTGGGTAAGATTTTATGAACAAATATAAAGGGAAGACTTGGGTAAGATTTTATGAACAAATATAAAGGGAAGACTTGGGTAAGATTTTATGAACAAATATAAAGGGAAGACTTGGGTAAGATTTGATGAACAAATATAAAGGGAAGACTTGGGTAAGATTTGATGAACAAATATAAAGGGAAGACTTGGGTAAGATTTTATGAACAAATATAAAGGGAAGACTTGGGTAAGATTTTATTAACAAATATAAAGGGAAGACTTGGGTAAGATTTTATGAACAAATATAAAGGGAAGACTTGGGTAAGATTTGATGAACAAATATAAAGGGAAGACTTGGGTAAGATTTTATTAACAAATATAAAGGGCAAATGTGGTAAGAACAAATTTCTATTTATGTACATTTGAATGTTTAAACAACCAGACAAAACAAACTGAGTTTTAAATATTTTTTGTGTGCATAGAGTTAGTACATTTTATGCATATACTTTTTATTTTTAAGGCACAGAGTTTGTGCATTTGTTGTGTAAAACATACCACAACAATTGGCTTTTCCACAAATACATACAACTAGATACAATTTAAATAAACATTAAGGGAAAATAGCAGTTCTACACATGTCAGTATGATGACTTATGTATAATGTATCCATTAGATTTGTATTCAGTTAATCACTTACCTTAATGAACAGCTGATGACAAAGGGTAGTCAAAGTTTGATACATGATTTGGAGTCTGTGAGGCTACAGGCTATCAAGCAAGTGGTTGTTGCTGAAAAAGTAGGTAGCCTATTGCTGTAATTGTAATTAGCCTATTGTTGAAATTGTAGGGAGCATATTGCTGAAACTGTAGTTAGCCTATAGCTGAAATTGTAGTTAGTGTGTTACTGAAATTGTAGGTAGCCTATTGCTGTAATTGTATATAGCAGATACTGCTGAAAAAGTAAGTATTGATGAAAATGTGGATAATTAAAAAAAAGAATTTTATAAAAAGTAATTGTAACTAAAATATCAAGTTGTCCTATTATTGGAAAGTATTGTAAGAAAAGTAAAATTTCCTAACAATTTGTCTAAAAGCTATGGCATAAGTTTAAATGCTAAAATGTTAGGCCTAAGTCCTAATCTTGTGTAGGTCCTAATATTTTCAGGCACTAATATTTTGAATTCCCAGTCAACCCAAGAAAAATTAACATTTCAAACAATGTATATTCTTACAAGCTTTTATTTAACTTGCTTCCTCATTTTATTTTGCCATCATGGACTGAAACTAGCTAGCAAAATTCCGACCACTTCTAACTAATCGATTTCTTTAAAACTTGGCTCATGAGTCAAGACCTGATGGCAATGCAATGTGACATCAAATTTGACTTAATTAGATGCTTAATTAAATTTTTATAAATTAATTAAAGTTTCTATATAAAGTGCCATTTACCCCACTATTATACACACATTTTTCACGTTTGTTTGGTGTGCAATTGTTTTTAGTCATGCATTAGGCTTGAAAAGCTGGTTCCAAATGTTTGTTGCCAGAAAGCATATTTTTCAACCAAAATTGAATCTTCAAAACATTTGTGTTAAGTGCAAAATGACTTCCACATTATTATAGCTACAAATTTTCAAACAAATATAATAGTAATTTAGCAATCATTTTTATTTTTTATTTGGATTAGTAGAGTTAGGGTGATGTGGGGATGTTATATATTTAAATACAATGCTACAATATACACCATTGACCACTATTGTGTATTTGGATCTTTAGGATACCTTGACAAAAATGCTAAAATTTAATGAGTGACCCAGGCCATTCTTTTAGTTATTTAGTGGTACATTATTATTTTCTTTATTTTAATACATAATTATATAAAAGCTTGTTATTAAAACGTTTTTACTAAAAAAAATGTTATAACAAATCAATATTTGTTTACAATATGGTATAATTTGTTTAACCAAGTTCAATTATAAAAATAGGCCTAATGTATACATGTTATCATTGACTTTCATTTACTCCAGACTTGCTACATACGCCAGTTTGAAGAAGGCGTCCTCTCAAGACAGTCAGTGCTCAATCTTATGATTCAGGTCAATGAGGCAATCAAACTCAAACAGTAAGAATTCATTTTATTTACCTAAAGATGTGTGTCCAATAACATTGTATTTGCCTACAGATGTGTGTCCAATAATGTTGTATTTGCCTACAGATGTGTGTCCAATAATGTTGTATTTACCTACAGATGTGTGTCCAATAACGTTGTATTTGCCTACAGATGTGTGTCCAATAACGTATTTGCCTACAGATGTGTGTCCAATAACGTTGTATTTGCCTACAGATGTGTGTCCAATAACATTGTATTTGCCTACAGATGTGTGTCTAATAACGTATTTGCCTACAGATGTGTGTCCAATAACATTGTATTTGCCTACAGATGTGTGTCCAATAACGTATTTGCCTACAGATGTGTGTCCAATAACATTGTATTTACCTACAGATGTGTGTCCAATAACATTGTATTTACCTACAGATGTGTGTCCAATAACATTGTATTTACCTACAGATGTGTGTCCAATAACATTGTAGGCCTATTTGCCTACAGATGTGTGTCCAATAACGTATTTGCCTACAGATGTGTGCCCAATAACATTGTATTTGCCAACAGATGTGTGTCCAATAACATTGTATTTGTTTACAGATGTGTGTCCAATAACGTATTTGCCTACAGATGTGTGTCCAATAATGTATTTGCCTACAGATGTGTGTCCAATAATGTATTTGCCTACAGATGTGTGCCCAATAACATTGTATTTACCTACAGATGTGTGTCCAATAACGTTGTAGGCCTATTTGCCTACAGATGTGTGTCCAATAATGTATTTGCCTACAGATGTGTGCCCAATAACATTGTATTTGCCTACAGATGTGTGTCCAATAACGTTGTAGGCCTATTTGCCTACAGATGTGTGTCCAATAACGTATTTGCCTACAGATGTGTGCCCAATAACATTGTATTTGCATACAGATGTGTGTCCAATAATGTATTTGCCTACAGATGTGTGTCCAATAACATTGTATTTACCTACAGATGTGTGTCCAATAACGTATTTACCTACAGATGTGTGCCCAATAACATTGTATTTGCCTACAGATGTGTGTCCAATAACATTGTATTTACCTACAGATGTGTGTCCAATAACGTTGTATTTGCCTACAGATGTGTGTCCAATAACGTCTTCGCCTACAGATGTGTGTCCAATAACATTGTATTTTCCTACAGATGTGTGTCCAATAACACTGTATTTGCCTACAGATGTGTGCCCAATAGCATTGTATTTACCTACAGATGTGTGTCCAATAACATTGTATTTGCCTACAGATGTGTGCCCAATAACATTGTAGGCCTATTTGCCTACAGATGTGTGCCCAATAACATTGTATTTACCTACAGATGTGTGTCCAATAACATTGTATTTACCTACAGATGTGTGTCCAATAATGTATTTGCCTACAGATGTGTGTCCAATAACGTATTTGCCTACAGATGTGTGTCCAATAACGTATTTGCATACAGATGTGTGTCCAATAACGTATTTGCATACAGATGTGTGTCCAATAACGTATTTACCTACAGATGTGTGTCCAATAACGTATTTGCATACAGATATGTTTGCCAGCTGAATTAATATTAGCAGGAGGAGAAATCATGTCAGATGTGCTGCTAAATATTTGCAACAAAATCTGGCAGACAGGAGAATGGCCCAAGTTGTGAACCCAATCTCTTATCATCACCAACCCCAAGAAAGGCAACTTACAACTCTGCCAAAACTACCGCATTGTTAGTCTAATAAGTCACACAAGGAAAATCATGCTAAAGATAATACTCAACAGACTAACGCCACAAGCTGAACAGATATTAGTTTAGTAAGAGGCACGCTTTAGATGGGGATACAGCACAACTGAGCAGATCTTTAATCTTAGGTTACTTTGAAAAAAATATCTACAACCCCAGCAGCATCTTTACTAGATCTATATCTACTATGTCTTTGTTGACTAAAGAAGGCATTCAACAGAATATGGAATGATGCATTGTGGGCTACCATGCATAAATACAACACCAGTGCAAACCATGTAGAAAATTATCAAAAAATTATTTGAGAGCAACCAGCACAGTTGCAAATGGTTTAGAGGGGCCTATAATGTTTATTTTTAACATTGCGATGCCTAGAATTTGTTTCTTGTGACTTTGTTTTTTCATTATTTTAATGCTAAGTTATCGTAATTCTTTCTGTCATTGTTTTATTTTCAATCTGAAGGTAATGGCTTTACTGGGTTTCCCTAATTACCCAATTCATATTTTTTCATTACAGACTAGTAAACCCCTTCAGTTTTATATCAGCTATGTCAAACAAGAACAACTTCATCTGCAGAATTGTAAGAAACAAATTAGTTACTGAGTAAAATGTAAACATTTAGGAGAAGGCCAATTGTTTGTTCACTTTCTATCTTGGAGTGAGATAATGTTTGATCACTTTGTATCTTGGGGTGAGATGTTTGATCACTTTGTATCTTGGGGTGAGATAATGTTTGATCTGTTTGTATCTGGGGGTGAGATAATGTTTGATCACTTTGTATCTTGGGGTGAGATAATGTTTGATCTGTTTGTATCTGGGGGTGAGATAATGTTTGATCTGTTTGTATCTTGGGGTGAGATAATGTTTGATCTGTTTGTATCTTGGGCTGAGATAATGTTTGATCTGTTTGTATCTTGGGGTGAGATAATGTTTGATCTGTTTGTATCTTGGGGTGAGATAATGTTTGATCTGTTTGTATCTTGGGCTGAGATAATGTTTGATCTGTTTGTATCTTGGGGTGAGATAATGTTTGATCTGTTTGTATCTTGGGGTGAGATAATGTTTGATCACTTTGTATCTTGGGGTGAGATAATGTTTGATCAGTTTGTATCTTGGAGTGAGATAATGTTTGATCTGTTTGTATCTTGGAGTGAGATAATGTTTGATCTGTTTGTATCTTGGGGTTAGATAATGTTTGATCTGTTTGTATCTTGGGGTGAGATAATGTTTGATCTGTTTGTATCTTGGGGTGAGATAATGTTTGATCACTTTCTATCTTGGAGTGAGATAATGTTTGATCACTTAGTATTTTGGGGTGAGATAATGTTTGATCTGTTTGTATCTTGGGGTGAGATAACGTTTGATCTGTTTGTATCTTGGAGTGAGATAATGTTTGATCACTTTGTATCTTGGGGTGAGATAATGTTTGATCACTTTGTATCTTGGGGTGAGATAATGTTTGATCTGTTTGTATCTTGGGGTGAGATAATGTTTGATCTGTTTGTATCTTGGGGTGAGATAATGTTTGATCTGTTTGTATCTTGGGGTGAGATAATGTTTGATCTGTTTGTATCTTGGGGTGAGATAATGTTTGATCTGTTTGTATCTTGGGGTGAGATAATGTTTGATCTGTTTGTATCTTGGGGTGAGATAATGTTTGATCTGTTTGTATCTTGGAGTGAGATAATGTTTGATCACTTTGTATCTTGGGGTGAGATAATGTTTGATCACTTTGTATCTTGGGGTGAGATAATGTTTGATCAGTTTGTATCTTGGGGTGAGATAATGTTTGATCTGTTTGTATCTTGGGGTGAGATAATGTTTGATCTGTTTGTATCTTGGGGTGAGATAATGTTTGATCTGTTTGTATCTTGGGGTGAGATAATGTTTGATCTGTTTGTATCTTGGGGTGAGATAATGTTTGATCTGTTTGTATCTTGGGGTGAGATAATGTTTGATCTGTTTGTATCTTGGGGTGAGATAATGTTTGATCTGTTTGTATCTTGGGGTGAGATAATGTTTGATCTGTTTGTATCTTGGGGTGAGATAATGTTTGATCTGTTTGTATCTTGGAGTGAGATAATGTTTGATCTGTTTGTATCTTGGGGTGAGATAATGTTTGATCTGTTTGTATCTTGGGGTGAGATAATGTTTGATCTGTTTGTATCTTGGGGTGAGATAATGTTTGATCTGTTTGTATCTTGGGGTGAGATAATGTTTGATCTGTTTGTATCTTGGGGTGAGATAATGTTTGATCTGTTTGTATCTTGGAGTGAGATAATGTTTGATCACTTTCTATCTTGGAGTGAGATAATGTTTGATCACTTAGTATTTTGGGGTGAGATAATGTTTGATCTGTTTGTATCTTGGGGTGAGATAATGTTTGATCTGTTTGTATCTTGGGGTGAGATAATGTTTGATCTGTTTGTATCTTGGAGTGAGATGTTTGATCACTTTGTATCTTGGGGTGAGATAATGTTTGATCTGTTTGTATCTTGGGGTGAGATAATGTTTGATCTGTTTGTATCTTGGGGTGAGATAATGTTTGATCTGTTTGTATCTTGGGGTGAGATAATGTTTGATCTGTTTGTATCTTGGGGTGAGATAATGTTTGATCTGTTTGTATCTTGGGGTGAGATAATGTTTGATCTGTTTGTATCTTGGGGTGAGATAATGTTTGATCTGTTTGTATCTTGGGGTGAGATAATGTTTGATCTGTTTGTATCTTGGGGTTGAGATAAACCAATGTTTGATCTGTTTGACCTTCAGGAACATGACCTATATGAGTTAATGGCCGCCAAACCCGCCCCTGTGTTCACCAAATGTGTGGTGACCATTGTTCACCTGATTGATTTCATCATTGTGGTGTACTCACTCCTGGCGCACTACTTTGAGAGCACCCACTTCCTCAGACAGCTGCTCATCAACTTGTACAACATCATTGTCTTCTTCTTCTTTTTTTTTAGCATGATTATAACTGTGAGTACCTTGCATCTGATTCATTTAGGTTTAAAATTAGATTATTTAAGACATGTAAATTGTACCACAATGAAGATGCTATTTATAGAATGTTAAAACAAAAGCACTGAGTAAAATAGAATTGAAATTAAGGGATATCTGAAAGTGTTCTGCAAAAATTACAAGATCTGTCAAAAATAAGAGCAAATAATCTTCTAATTACAAAACTTTACAAAAATAAATATCTTATCAACACGTGTATATAGAAAGTAACAATGTGTTTTTTTGCAAGATGATACAAACCCGAAGTTTTTCATCCACTGGTTTTAAAAATATGATTCAACGTGCAATTCTCTTTTGCCTTTTAATTGATCTGATGTTTACTGCTGTTCCATTTGTAAGTTGGTTTTTTATTTTTTTTAATTTTGAGATAGTGTTGGTGGATGGGGTGAGGTTGGTGGATGGGGTGAGGTTGGTGGATGGACTGCGGTTGGTGGATGGGGTGAGGTTGGTGGATGGGCTCAGTTTGGTGGATGGACTGAGGTTGGTGGATGGACTAAGGTTGGTGGATGGGGTGAGGTTGGTGGATGGGGTGAGGTTGGTGGATGGACTGTGGTTGGTGGATGGACTGTGGTTGGTGGATGGACTGAGGTTGGTGGATGGGGTGAGGTTGGTGGATGGACTGAGGTTGGTGGATGGGTTGAGGTTGGTGGATGGACTGTGGTTGGTTGATGGATTGAGGTTGGTGGATGGGGTGAGGTTGGTGGATGGACTGAGGTTGGTGGATGGACTGAGGTTGGTGGATGGACTAAGGTTGGTGGATGGACTGAGGTTGGTGGATGGGGTGAGGTTGGTGGATGGGGTGAGGTTGGTGGATGGACTGAGGTTGGTGGATGGGGTGAGGTTGGTGGATGGGGTGAGGTTGGTGGATGGGGTGAGGTTGGTGGATGGACTGAGGTTGGTGGATGGGGTGAGGTTGGTGGATGGGGTGAGGTTGGTGGATGGGGTGAGGTTGGTGGATGGACTGAGGTTGGTGGATGGGGTGAGGTTGGTGGATGGGGTGAGGTTGGTGGATGGGGTGAGGTTGGTGGATGGCGGGTGAGGTTGGTGGATGGGGTGAGGTTGGTGGATGGACTGAGGTTGGTGGATGGGGTGAGGTTGGTGGATGGGCTCAGTTTGGTGGATGGGCTGAGGTTGGTGGATGGACTGAGGTTGGTGGATGGACTGCGTTTGGTGGATGGGGTGAGGTTGGTGGATGGGGTGAGGTTGGTGGATGGACTGAGGTTGGTGGATGGGGTGAGGTTGGTGGATGGGGTGAGGTTGGTGGATGGGGTGAGGTTGGTGGATGGACTGAGGTTGGTGGATGGGGTGAGGTTGGTGGATGGGGTGAGGTTGGTGGATGGGGTGAGGTTGGTGGATGGGGGGTGAGGTTGGTGGATGGGGTGAGGTTGGTGGATGGACTGAGGTTGGTGGATGGGGTGAGGTTGGTGGATGGGCTCAGTTTGGTGGATGGACTGAGGTTGGTGGATGGACTGAGGTTGGTGGATGGACTGCGTTTGGTGGATGGGGTGAGGTTGGTGGATGGACTGAGGTTGGTGGATGGGGTGAGGTTGGTGGATGGGGTGAGATTGGTGGATGAGGTGAGGTTGGTGGATGGGGTGAGGTTGGTGGATGGACTAAGGCTGGTGGATGGGTTGAGGTTGGTGGATGGACTAAGGTTGGTGGATGGGGTGAGGTTGGTGGATGGACTAAGGCTGGTGGATGGGGTGAGGTTGGTGGATGGGGTGAGGTTGGTGGATGGACTGAGGTTGGTGGATGCGTTGAGTTTGGTGGATGGACTGCGGTTGGTGGATGGGGTGAGGTTGGTGGATGGGGTGAGGTTGGTGGATGGACTAAGGTTGGTGGATGGGGTGAGGTTGGTGGATGGACTGAGGTTGGTGGATGGACTGAGGTTGGTGGATGGGGTGAGGTTGGTGGATGGGGTGAGGTTGGTGGATGGGGTGAGGTTGGTGGATGGGGTGAGGTTGGTGGATGGGGTGAGGTTGGTGGATGGACTGAGGTTGGTGGATGGGGTGAGGTTGGTGGATGGGGTGAGGTTGGTGGATGGGGTGAGGTTGGTGGATGGGGTGAGGTTGGTGGATGGGGTGAGGTTGGTGGATGGGGTGAGGATGGTGGATGGACTGAGGTTGGTGGATGGACTGAGGTTGGTGGATGGGGTGAGGTTGGTGGATGGGGTGAGGTTGGTGGATGGGGTGAGGTTGGTGGATGGGGTGAGGTTGGTGGATGGACTGAGGTTGGTGGATGGACTAAGGTTGGTGGATGGGGTGAGGTTGGTGGATGGGCTCAGTTTGGTGGATGGACTAAGGCTGGTGGATGGGGTGAGGTTGGTGGATGGACTAAGGTTGGTGGATGGGGTGAGGATGGTGGATGGACTAAGGTTGGTGGATGGGGTGAGGTTGGTGGATGGGGTGAGGTTGGTGGATGGGGGGTGAGGTTGGTGGATGGACTAAGGCTGGTGGATGGACTGAGGTTGGTGGATGGACTAAGGCTGGTGGATGGGGTGAGGTTGGTGGATGGACTAAGGTTGGTGGATGGGGTGAGGTTGGTGGATGGACTAAGGTTGGTGGATGGGGTGAGGTTGGTGGATGGACTAAGGCTGGTGGATGGGGTGAGGTTGGTGGATGGACTGAGGTTGGTGGATGGACTGAGGTTGGTGGATGGACTGAGGTTGGTGGATGGGGTGAGGTTGGTGGATGGGGTGAGGTTGGTGGATGGGGTGAGGTTGGTGGATGGGGTGAGGTTGGTGAATGGGGTGAGGTTGGTGGATGGGGTGAAGTTCGTGGATGGACTGAGGTTGGTGGATGGACTGAGGTTGGTGGATGGACTGAGGTTGGTGGATGGGGTGAGGTTGGTGGATGGACTGAGGTTGGTGGATGGGGTGAGGTTGGCGGATGGACTGTGGTTGGTGGATGGGGGGTGAGGTTGGTGGATGGGCTCAGTTTGGTGGATGGACTGAGGTTGGTGGATGGGGTGAGGTTGGTGGATGGGGTGAGGTTGGCGGATGGACTGTGGTTGGTGGATGGGGTGAGGTTGGTGGATGGGGTGAGGTTGGTGGATGGACTGAGGTTGGTGGATGGACTGAGGTTGGTGGATGGGGTGAGGTTGGTGGATGGACTGAGGTTGGTGGATGGACTGAGGTTGGTGGATGGACTGAGGTTGGTGGATGGACTGAGGTTGGTGGATGGGGTGAGGTTGGTGGATGGGGTGAGGTTGGTGGATGGGGTGAGGTTGGTGGATGGGGTGAGGTTGGTGGATGGGGTGAGGTTGGTGGATGGGGTGAGGTTGGTGGATGGACTGCGGTTGGTGGATGGGGTGAGGTTGGTGGATGGGGTGAGGTTGGTGGATGGGGTGAGGTTGGTGGATGGACTAAGGTTGGTGGATGGACTAAGGCTGGTGGATGGACTGAGGTTGGTGGATGGGGTGAGGTTGGTGGATGGGGTGAGGTTGGTGGATGGACTAAGGTTGGTGGATGGACTAAGGCTGGTGGATGGGGTGAGGTTGGCGGATGGGGTGAGGTTGGTGGATGGGGTGAGTTTGGTGGATGGACTGCGGTTGGTGGAAGCTGTGACTAGACTGACATGAGTGGTTCCACTAACTTAAGTTTGATTTGACACTGACACTAGTGTCATTTGGTAGTGTAAACTATTCCAATGTTTATTTGTAAATGCTTTCAATAGTTTTTTTGTGTGTCAATCCCAGTTTTTGTTTAAAGAAAATCTTTGGGACTTCAATTCTCAAGAGACATTAGCAACTTTTATCTTCATACAAGAATTGTTTGCCTGTACCAGACTTCTCCGCTTGTTTCATATCATCAGGTTCAGCACTGTAAGTCTTGTGGGACAGACATCATACTGACAGGAGGGGTATTTTGACAGATGTGGGGGGGGGGTATATTGACAGAAGTGGGGGGTGGGGAGTGTATTGAAATAGGAGGGAAATTGAGCTGACAGTTGATGGGGGAAGAAGCTGGTAACATGTAGGCATATTATAAGATTATTTATATGGGTCAAGTGACAAGGTTTACAGAGAGAAAAGGAAGGAAAGATAAAACACACTGTGGCTAATTTACATGCAAAAGATCACCATGATCAGTGGTATTAGTTGCTTTTTGACAAGAAACGTTGCTGTCAAGACATGTCAAACATACATCCCTTGCAGCTAGCATGTCACTCACATCAACTTTGTATCCTTGCAGCTAACATGTCACTCACATCAACTTTGTATCCTTGCAGCTATCATGTCACTCACATCAACTTTGTATCCTTGCAGTTAACATATCACTCACATCAACTTTGTATCCTTGCAGCTATCATGTCACTCACATCAACTTTGTATCCTTGCAGCTATCATGTCACTCACATCAACTTTGTATCTTTGCAGCTGTTGCAAAAAGTACTTTTAGAAATAGTTACCAAGAAAATGGAACAGAAGATATTTATTGGATGTGATATGTCTGTAGGATTTATCAAAGGGGCTATGGAAACATTAAGAAAGGTAACATTAACCCATATTCTGCTAGCGTCCCACTTATGGGACGCTTGTAAAAAAAAATTGCTAAAATTTATTAAAAACTAGTTAAAACACAAATTATGTTTCATTGTATTTGAAAATGGCTAGACTATTGACTTTGTGTGTGTTTTGTGAAAAAAATTAATTTAGAAAAATGTTATAGTGCCGGATTTGCAGGACTTGTCAAAATGGCGGAAAAAAGAAAACATGCGCACAGGAAAATGCATATCTTCTAAAATATTAACATTTTAAGTGCAAAATACATTTGAAACTTGTAGCAGTACCATATTTCTATCTGATAAAAATTTAAGAATAACAATTTTTTTTTACTACTTCGTTATATCAAGTGTACAATAAGCGTCCCATAAGTGGGACGCTAGCAACGAATGGCCCCATGTAGATTGTTACACAAACGTCACATTTATTGGACACTAGCGAGAAACACAGTTGCAAATGTTTATGTTAAATGGTTATTTATGGTGAAACAATTGTTGACTTTGTTAACTGCTGACTTTGGGATGTTAAGTAGTATTTATAGATATTTAATTATGACCTTGACCTATATTTATGCAGATTGTTGCACAAACGTCACATTTATTGGACACTAGCGAGAAACACAGATGCAAATATTTATGTTAAATGGTTATTTATGGTGAAACAATTGTTTACTTTGTTAACTGTTGACTTTGGGGTGTTAAGTAGTATTTATAGATATTTAATTATGACCTTGAGCTATATTTTCTTATATATTATTGTATTTAAAAATTGCAAATATTGAAAAACTTACATTTTATTTTTAAGTTTTCAGAATTACACTTACTGAAGTATTTAATACCATTGAATACAAACTAATTTAGTATTGCTGTAAATTTACTAGCGCGTGATATTAAAATTATAACAAACCAGAATAATAACAATGGCCACGATTTAGGTGAAATGATTCAGTCATGAGGGTTGGTTAACTCTCTTCATATAAGAGAGCTTAAAGCTACATATAGCAGAAATGTGAATTAGCTGTGTACAGTTGTCATGCCCCAATAATATTCCCCTCCAAAGGTTACCGATACCAGCTTTACTTTGTTAACTTTTTAAGGAGATTCCTGGTGTTAGATTGGGAGCTGTGTGCATAGTGAGGTGCATACATGGATGAGAGCCATGAAGACTCAATACAAGCCCCCAGAGACGGATCCGTGCCCTAGAAATAAGATGTCTGATGTCCTAATGTATGCCTGTGAGGGGGGGGGGGGATAGCGAGGGTAACAAAAGAGAAGATGGCTGGATGACATCTGGGACTGGACAGGATCGACTTTTGCAAATTCACTGAGGGCAGAGTTTCTTTCAAGCATCATTTCGGAGGAGGGGGGGGGGGGCTCTGCCCCCAGAACAAAATGGAATTTATATACAAAACATACTTTTACCAATGTCCACCCTTTCCCTGAAATTTAAGTCCCCATCGCTGAAAATTTCAAGTACGCCCCCCAAAAAATCAATTATTTATATTTAAATATATTACAATTACGATGAATAATAACAATATTTGTGATCATGTGTGTATAATTAGATGTACTAGTCACAGCTTTACTTATTTCCAAGTGTTGTTCACTTTGATGGATGCTAGATTGAAAGAAAACTAGACTTTTGGACATAATTTCTGCATTTTAGACCATGGTATGGCTAACCCAATTGATCATTATCAGTATTTTTAGCTGTCCTAAACAATGTAATCATTGGTCTAACAATACAAAATCAGTATACAGCTTAATTTTCGCGTGATTAGCCATATTTCGTGAAAAATGATTTTATTTTTCAATAAATGTACATGGGGCCGTTCGTTGCTAGCGTCCCATTTATGGGACGTTTTTTAAAAAATCGATATTTAAAAAAGTATTGATTTAAAAAAAAAATCCATAGTCATTCCTTCATTCAGTGCCCAAAAGCTAAACCATATCAAAAAATTATCAAAATTTGAGACCTTGGGATAATATGGGTTAAAATGGCTTAGGATTTAGACACATATGTACGTGTACTTATCAGTGGTGTCACTAGGTTGGTCAGGTGTCATCTGGTGTGGCACTCTAACCCCACCCCCCCCCCCCCCCCCCCCCATCTGCAAAAAATTATACATGTGTGTTTATATATATATATATATATATATATATATATATATATATATATATATATATATATATATATATATTTATTTATTTATTTATTTATATATAAATATACTCTTAGGTCAATGGCTTGCCCTTTAGGGAAAACTGTCGGTTTCACTCAAAGCCCTCGACGAGGGCTAAACAGTGACCGCGAGTGAAATTCTCTTTATATGAGCTCTATTACGCAAAAAAATTTCCTCCGTCGACCCCCCTTGAAATTTTGTGAGGTGGTAGAAGAAGGCCTTGGGGTGTCACAAAAAACTCGCCATGTCCTGGAAAAATCGGGAAATGTGTCAAAACTGACCTGTCGTATTTCCCTATATAATCTTTGTATTTTATGGCAAAAACAGGGAAATTTTAACACAATTTTTAGGTTACTTAACGTCTGTACATCATGCTAAGTTTTTGCATACACTACTATTGATGACTAGGCCGTATGGAAAAGCCGTTGGTCTGACTAAAAGCCCTCGACGAGGGCTAAAAGATGATCGTGAGTGAAATTCTCCTTATATGAGATATATATATATATATATATATATATTTAAAAAATTGACGAACGATCCCCTTAATATTATATGACGTCGTAGACCGACCCTGGAGGGTAACAAAAAAACTTTATTCCCGTCGGAAACAGCCATTATAGTCGTTAAATATGTTCATATACCGTAATTTCTTATATAAGCATAGCAACTGTTTGTAAAAAAAAAAAGTAAACAGAGACATACGTCATACGTTCAGTTTTCAAGGGAGGTAACGTTTTTAAAATTATTATTTTTCAAATAATTGTATACTATTTTAAACAGAAACAGAAAATGACGAAGTATAGAATTTGTTATTGTTCAAAATTAAGTTGTTAACTCAGTTACGTATCCTAATTAAATAAATTTATTAATTTCAAAAGGCAATGTAATATAAACTATGATATATACTGTTCATGGAACCTTTGTAGTTCTAATTCCATTTTAGTTATAGATTGCGTACTTTCCAATATTTCTCTGCTATTGGAATTTAAATGACTAACAAAAACATATTTTCTTAAGTTAGCAATCTGCTGGTCAGGTTAAAGATCTCAGCGATATTGCACATCACACTCACTAGGTACTCACTTGACCCTTTGATTACAGACTTGGCACTTTGTTGGCACTAAGTTGTTGACAAGTTATTCATTGGCGCGAACTTGACAAGACGAAAATTTGTTTAGATTAAAGGCTGATCGACCTTCAGACATGGACAAAGCAATCCAGAACTCTGCTGGAGCACCAAGCTCGGATCTAATTACTATCCCCATTCTTTTCCCGTAGACCACAGCTCAAGTCTTCTGAAACACTGCTGAACATGATACACCCAAATGGACCCACACACATGGACCAGCACACATGGACCAACCCGCAATGGACCAACCCACAATGGACCAAACCTCATTGACCAACCCTTATCGACCAACCCTCATGGACCAACCCACATTGACCAACCCACATGGACCAACCCTCATTGACCAACCCTCATTGACCAACCCACATTGACCAACCCACAAGGACCAACCCTCATTGACCAACCCACAAGGAACAACCCACATGGACCAACCCTAGATGTACACTCACACATTGCACCATAGGATTTGATTACGTGTATAAACCTCTTTGAAAATGTGATAAGACTTTTGATATCTCTGTAGAAATTATACACACCTTTTTGGACAACTTTAGAAATGTGACACTCCGCACTGGAAATGTGACAAGAATTTCAACGTAAAATCCAATTTTATAATGAAACAATTGTATTAGATGTTAAAAAAACACATCAGGTAAAATAAAACTCCACAGATGAGCTCAAAAAAAAAAAAAAAAAAAAAAAAAAAAAAAAAAAAAAAAAAAAAAAAAAAAAAAAAAAAAAAAAACTTAAGTTAGCATTACTGTTTAAATTAAAGCACTCCATACCCAATCCGTCGCTAAATAATTAAGTATTCAAATTCTCAAATGGTTTTTTAAAAACCTAAGCGAAGCTAGGCAGTATGCCTAGTATATATATATATAAGACATACATGACCACCCAGCTGTGATGGATACTCTTGTGTAATTGGCTGATGAACAAATGCCCAAATGAAAAATTCTCGTTTGACTCATTTTTTTTCCTGGTAATTGTTTGATTTTCTGAAGAGTAAATGTTTTATATCTGTACAGGCTAACAGAATTGTGGAGGATCTTAGTATCTCCAGCAAACTAAAATATACCTGTCATATATGTCGCTTGATCCTAGCTCAACATTTGGGTAAGTGGTGTGTGTCTCTTGATCCTAGCTCAACATTTGGGTAAGTGATGTGTGTCACTTGATCCTAGCTCCACATTTGGGTAAGTGGTGTGTGTCACTTGATCCTAGCTCAACATTTGGGTAAGTGATGTGTGTCACTTGATCCTAGCTCAACATTTGGGTAAGTGGTGTGTGTCACTTGATCCTAGCTCAACATTTGGGTAAGTGGTGTGTGTCACTTGATCCTAGCTCAACATTTGGGTAAGTGATGTGTGTCACTTGATCCTAGCTCAACATTTGGGTAAGTGGTGTGTGTCACTTGATCCTAGCTCAACATTTGGGTAAAACATTCTAAAACTTTACATTATAGAAAAGCATAGACAATATATAGCTGTGTCTGTAAAAAATGACAAAGCCTGATAATACCATTGATCAAGTGTACCTATCAATAGGGCCCCACTAGTTTTTTGTCCAACCCCATAATCTTTTTTTCTGGGTCCTATGTTACAGTGTATTAAAGCGATAATGGAACACCTGAATGGAATAATTGAAACAAAAAAGCTCTTATCTTTCCTGCCATTTGCACAGCATTGTGCCAAGTAGACAACCCTGGTGTTATGTGATATGCCTGATTCTGACTCTACTTCCTCAGGCTTGTGCCAAGTAGACAAGTTTGGTTTTATGCGATATGCCTGACTCTGACTCTACTTCCTCAGGATTGTGCCAAGTAGACAAGTTTGGTTTTATGTGATATGCCTGACTCTGACTCTACTTCCTCAGGCTTGTGCCAAGTGGACAACCCTGGTTTTATGCAATATGCCTGACTCTGACTCTACTTCCTCAGGCTTGTGCCAAGTGGACAACCCTGGTGTTATGCGATATGCCTGACTCTGACTCTACTTCCTCAGGCTTGTGCCAAGTGGACAACTTTGGTTTTATGCGATATGCTGACTCTGACTCTACTTCCTCAGGATTGTGCCAAGTAGATAACTTTGGTTTTATGCGATATGCCTGACTCTGACTCTACTTCCTCAGGATTGTGCCAAGTGGACAACCCTGGTGTTATGCGATATGCCTGACTCTGACTCTACTTCCTCAGGATTGTGCCAAGTAGACAACTTTGGTTTTATGTGATATGCCTGACTCTGACTCTACTTCCTCAGGCTTGTGCCAAGTGGACAACTTTGGTTTTATGCGATATGCCTGACTCTGACTCTACTTCCACAGGATTGTGCCAGCTTTGGTTTTATGTGATATGCCTGACTCTGACTCTACTTCCTCAGGCTTGTGCCAAGTGGACAACTTTGGTTTTATGCGATATGCTGACTCTGACTCTACTTCCACAGGATTGTGCCAGCTTTGGTTTTATGTGATATGCCTGACTCTGACTCTACTTCCTCAGGCTTGTACCAAGTGGACAACTTTGGTTTTATGCGATATGCCTGACTCTGACTCTACTTCCACAGGATTGTGCCAGCTTTGGTTTTATGTGATATGCCTGACTCTGACTCTGACTCTACTTCCTCAGGATTGTGCCAAGTGGACAACCCAGGTGTTATGCTGGCACTCAAGTCAAAGACCGCCATACGTCTGACCCTGAATGCTCAAGAGCAGAGACTACTGGAGATCAAAGAAATGGGGCTGTTAGGTGACCAGGACTTTCAAATCATACAGAAGGTTGGAGTCACAACTTGGGTGTTTTTGGTGGAGTCAGGACACTTGGGTGTTTTTGGTGGAGTCAGGACAGCTGTGTTTTTGTTGGAGTCAGGACACTTGGGTGTTTTTGTTGGAGTCAGGACACTTGGGTGTTTTTGTTGGAGTCAGGACACCAGTGTTTTTGTTGGAGTCAGGACACTTGGGTATTTTTGTTGGAGTCAGGACACCAGTGTTTTTGTTGGAGTCAGGACACCATTGTTTTTGTTGGAGTCAGAACATCTGTGCTTTTGTTGGAGTCAGAACACTTGTGTTTTTGTTGGAGTCAGGACACCAGTGTTTTGTTGGAGTCAGGACACCTGAGCGTTTTTGTTGAACTTATTTAGCTTTGTTTTCACTTAAATGAGGTCTTTGGCCACCTTTTGTACATTCTTTGGCCACCTTTTGTACATTCTTTGGCCACCTTTTGTACATTCTTTGGCCACCTTTTGTACATTCTTTGGCCACCTTTTGTACATTCTTTGGCCACCTTTTGTACATTCTTTGGCCACCTTTTGTACATTCTTTGGCCACCTTTTGTACATTCTTTGGCCACCTTTTGTACATTCTTTGGCCACCTTTTGTACATTCTTTGGCCACCTTTTGTACATTCTTTGGCCACCTTTTGTACATTCTTTGGCCACCTTTTGTACATTCTTTGGCCATCTCCAGTAGTTCTGTGGTCTTTTTTTTACATTCTTTGGCCATCTCCAGTAGTTCTGTGGTCATCTTTTGTACATTCTTTGGCCATTTCCAGTAGTTCTGTGGTCATCTTTAGTACATTCTTTGGCCATCTCCAGTAGTTCTGTGGTCATCTTTTGTACATTCTTTGGCCATCTCCAGTAGTTCTGTGGTCATCTTTAGTACATTCTTTGGCCATCTCCAGTAGTTCTGTGGTCATCTTTAGTACATTCTTTTGCCATCTCCAGTAGTTCTGTGGTCATCTTTTGTACATTCTTTGGCCATCTCCAGTAGTTCTGTGGTCATCTTTTGTACATTCTTTGGCCACCTTTTGTACATTCTTTGGCCACCTTTTGTACATTCTTTGGCCATCTTTTGTACATTCTTTGGCCACCTTTTGTACATTCTTTGGCCACCTTTTGTACATTCTTTGGCCACCTTTTGTACATTCTTTGGCCACCTTTTGTACATTCTTTGGCCATCTTTTGTACATTCTTTGGCCACCTTTTGTACATTCTTTGGCCACCTTTTGTACATCCTTGAGGCCACCTTTTGTACATTCTTTGGCCACCTTTTGTACATTCTTTGGCCACCTTTTGTACATTCTTTGGCCATCTCCAGTAGTTCTGTGGTCTTTTTTTTTACATTCTTTGGCCATCTCCAGTAGTTCTGTGGTCATCTTTAGTACATTCTTTGGCCATCTCCAGTAGTTCTGTGGTCATCTTTTGTACATTCTTTGGCCATCTCCAGTAGTTCTGTGGTCATCTTTAGTACATTCTTTGGCCATCTCCAGTAGTTCTGTGGTCATCTTTTGTACATTCTTTGGCCATCTCCAGTAGTTCTGTGGTCATCTTTTGTACATTCTTTGGCCACCTTTTGTACATTCTTTGGCCACCTTTTGTACATTCTTTGGCCACCTTTTGTACATTCTTTGGCCACCTTTTGTACATTCTTTGGCCACCTTTTGTACATTCTTTGGCCACCTTTTGTACATTCTTTGGCCACCTTTTGTACATTCTTTGGCCACCTTTTGTACATTCTTTGGCCACCTTTTGTACATTCTTGAGGCCACCTTTTGTACATTCTTTGGCCACCTTTTATACATTCTTTGGCCACCTTTTGTACATTCTTTGGCCACCTTTTGTACATTCTTTGGCCACCTTTTGTACATTCTTTGGCCACCTTTTGTACATTCTTTGGCCACCTCCAGTAGTTCTGTGGCCATCTTTGAAATGATTTCTATCCTTCAGAAAATTGAGAGCAAAATGGTCCAGGCCCAGAACTTCCCCTCCAGCATTGACCCCCTGGGACACAAGTCAGTTCTGCTTCACCTGCCCTGGGTTGATGGGAATGTGAAAGTTGCCAACTACATAGAGGTCATGTCATATCCGTACATTTTTTTTTTTTTTTTTAATATCTGTATTTATACTGCTGTGTAGGTTGTCTGGGTTTGTGAAAGGAAAACTTGACAAATTTGTAAGTAAATCAGTTTCACTGTGTCAGGGTTCTGAAACTTTTTGGTTGCATTTTAATTGTTTTTCCACAATACTAGAACCCAAAAATTATTGAATTAGTTATGCTAGACCTTCTTCCACAATATTATAACCTAAAAATTATGGATTAGTTATGCTAGACCTTCTTCCACAATATTAGAACCTAAAAATTATTGAATTAGTTATGCTAGACCTTCTTCCACAATATTAGAACCTAAAAATTGTTGAATTAGTTATGCTAGACTAGAATTATTTTCCCCAATATTAGAACCTAAAAATTATTAAATTATCTAAGCTAGACTAGTATTGCTAATATTAGAACCTATAAACTATTAAAGCAGTAAGACTATATTAAATGTATATTTTGCCCTTACACTCAGATTATTATGTATATTTTACCATCACTCTCAGATTATTATGTATATTTTGCCATCAGTGTCAGATTGTTATGCATATTTTGACATCAATGTCAGATTGTTATGTATATTTTGACATCACTCTCAGATTATTTTTCAACCAACTGCTTTGAACCCCACATTTTACCATCTTTCCTTCACCAGGAAAACGGCCATGCAATTCTTTTTAACCCTAATGACATCATAGTGACTCAAGGCTACAAACCTGGAGGCATTTTCATCATTCTCAATGGCCTGGTCAGGGTGAGTACACCCTGGGTATCATTGTTGCTAAACTTAGCATTGCTCAATGTCAGCATGGTCTAGTCTGTAAAGCTCGTAGCTGCTCAACTGTAAAGTCAAGGGTACAAACACACAGGCAGACGAGGCTGGACAGCTGGGATAGTAACTCTTTTAAGAGAGACAACTCCAAAATTAAACAACTGCTGCCTTATAGTTTGTCCTTTGATGGACAAGGGCTATGGAAGCAAATCCAAAAAGAAAACAGGCTAAAATCAGAGTCATCTGCCTATATGACGTATAACATGTTGATACGTAATATTTGATTGTTGTAGGTAATCCTGCCCAACATTAAGAATAAAGAAGAAAATATTGGTTTCCTTCTGGTTATTTACAGACCACCCACCCCCTATTTAAAAAAAAATTTCAATCTGAATTTCTAAATTGTGTTTAATTGCCAAAATATTTTGTTCTTCAGGAAAGAAAAAGCCTATTACTTAAAAAATGAAAATTATAGGGTTTTTTTTCTAGCCTATAAATATATTTACATTTAACATTACTATGTATTTTCACAAGAGAATTACCACCTTACAGATTAAACAAAACAACAGTTTTTCAAGAACAGCTAGCCTATTAGTATATGCTATTTTGCTAACCTAGCTAGTTTATTCCCAGCCTGATATTCACACTTCATATTATGGTGCTAATAATATTTTAATAAGGACATATTATTAGGCTATTAATATAAAAATCAAATCACCTGAAAACATCTCAGTAATGTCTAACTCTCAACCCTCAAGTTTTGATTAGAATTGTAAGATGCTAACAACTTTTTGTCTAGGTGGAAAGTATTCTTGGTCGAGACAGCTTGCAAGAGGACGAACAGGCCGAAGTTAGCCAAAGAATTTTAAATGAAAGTTCAAGGAAAGGTGGGTTCATAGATAATCAGTAAAATATAGATGAAAGGAAAAGTAGGTTCTTTGATATACAGCAAAATATAGATGACAGGAAACGTGTTTTCATAGATAATCAGTTAAATATGGAGGAAAGGAAAAGTAAGTTCTTTGATATACAGCAAAATATAGATGACAGGAAACGTGTTTTCATAGATAATCAGTTAAATATGGAGGAAAGGAAAAGTAAGTTCTTTGATATACAGCAAAATATAGATGACAGGAAAAGTGGACTGTTTGATAAATAGTAAAAGATATTTTATAAGAAACAAATGATTAGTTAACTTGAAAGTTGCATGTATATACAATGTATATGCTGTATATCATTGTTAGCTTGATTGTTGTAGTACACTGGTAGAACAACAATGTATGAGAACAACTGGACACATGTTGAACATTTAATTTCAGCCTCCTACTTCGTGAAAAGTTTAACTAACAAAGTAGCAGCACTGTATGACAGCAAGGTAGAACTCAAAGACTTTCTAGTCAGAGGAGGCGTCATTGGCGAGATGTCTACACTGACGGGAAAACCTGGCCACAAAACCTACAGATGTGCCACCTATGTTGAGGTCAAGTGCTGACCAAACTAGATTTCAAACATTTTTATTTTGGCTTGTCAAGTTATTTTAATTATTTTTAACAATATTTTTAAACAAACGATTGATAGCTTATATCAGGGGTCTCCAAACTTTATAGCCCGAGGGCCGCATTTACTATCAAATTTCAGTTCGGGGGCCAGTTACTTTCAGGCATGTCTTTGATTTCTCTGGGCAAAGTTCCTCAGCCATCATCAACAAATGTTTTTTCCGTGGAAAAAAAGATTTCCGCGGGCCGGATGAAAGGCCGTAGTTTGGAGACCCCTGGCTTATATGAACATGAGAAGACAAAACATGTCAAATTATCTTTAAAAGCTCGCAGGATTCACTCATATTTTTAATGGACTATTATTTTAACAAATGATTTTAAAAGAATAAAAAATGTGATTGCAGACCTACTTCATCAGCCATTTTCACCTGATTGAATTGATGGAGGGAGAGCCAGATGAGAGGCGGCCCATGCGGGACCTGGAGATGAAACTCTGGAGAACAGTGGCCATTAGACAAGCTGTGCGCATTATCCTCAGTGAAATTTCAAGTGGGGTAAGTCACATGACCTACTCTGCTGTTTGTTAAAATTTGAACAAAATTATAAAATACCTTTGGATGTCTCAACTTCCCACACTACTGTAAATGTTTTAGTCCCTAAAATTGTCAATATTAGAAAGTTAAATTTAGAAGGTCAGCCTTAGTCCCTAAAGCTGTTCATATTTTTAGAATGTTAACTTAAGTCCTTAAATTTGTCCATATTACAAAGTTAAATTGTTCCTAAAGCTGTGTATATTAGAAAGTTAAATTTACTCATTTAGATATTCTTTCCTGTGATTTTTAAGTAAATGGAATAGGCTAAATATGGATACATACATTATTCATTTAATTAGGAAGACAACTGTCGTATTGTTAAGTAAACACAAGCACTGAATTCACATTAAAAATGTTACTGGCATTTATCTGATGAGAATGTTTATTGCCAAATAAAATGAGTTCAAGTTAATGAACACATGAATTTGGTTATGATCGGCTATAAACATTTAGCCTACAGCCAATTTGTTGCTATTTGTTGTGAAATCAAGTTGCCAAATAATTTATTTCCCAAGAGCTTGTCTCGAATGCTGATCTACAATAGGATGTCAGACTCCTACATTATAGATGGTAACATGACCAGGGTGGTTGACATTGTACCAACAGAGGTAGCTGCTGTCATCCTCATACAAGGTTGGTTTCTGTTTCATTGTCTGTGTACAAGGTTGGTATCTGTTTCATTGTCTGTGTGTACAAGGTTGGTTTCTGTTTCATTGTCTGTGTGTACAAGGTTGGTTTCTGTTTCATTGTCTGTGTGTACAAGGTTGGTTTCTGTTTCATTGTCTGTGTTTATGAACAAGGTTGGTATCTGTTTCATTGTCTGTGTGTACAAGGTTGGTATCTGTTTCATTGTCTGTGTGTACAAGGTTGGTATCTGTTTCATTGTCTGTGTGTACAAGGTTGGTTTCTGTTTCATTGTCTGTGTACAAGGTTGGTTTCTGTTTCATTGTCTGTGTGTACAAGGTTGGTATCTGTTTCATTGTCTGTGTGTACAAGGTTGGTTTCTGTTTCATTGTCTGTGTACAAGGTTGGTTTCTGTTTCATTGTCTGTGTTTATGAACAAGGTTTGTTTCAGCTTCATTGTCTGTGTTTATGTACCAAGTAGGTTACTGTTTCATTGTCTGTGTGTACCAGGTTGGTTTCTGTTTCATTGTCTGTGTGTACCAGGTTGGTTTCTGTTTCATTGTTTGTTTCTTAATCTGTATTTATGTACAAGGTCGTTCTCTGTTTTGTGAAATCTTTGTGTCTGTAAAACATTAAATTAATTAGCCAATTCCCCACCATTCAACTCTCCTTTAGATCTGTGATCAGGTTCAAATTCTAACCTTTGTTCCATGATATTTTGTGGGAAGTTTTGTAACTAAATGATAAACCAATTAGACCTGTTGTGTGGGCCTATTTATTGAGCCAAGTTGATGTATTCAGTTCAGCCCACTACCTAGGACAGTACATAAAATCCCTTCCATCTGTATTGCAGGTTATGCCAAAAATTACTTCAGTGAAGCTCGCTTTCTGGGACCATGTATAATCCCTTACTACATTTCCAAACTTGTCACAGAGGTAATTTGGCTGTTTGTACATTTTCCAGTGTCTTCAATTTTTCTTTAGGAATCTACTGGTCACTTGTTTCTTCATCACTGTGACTTACTGTAATATTAAAGGGGATCACCTCCTACAGTTAACTATGTGTTAACATCTTGGCACCAAGTTCAGCCTGCTTTTTTTTCAGGATTTGCTGCATAGAGTTTGTCCATTTCAGAACAAATTACAAGTTTTCTCTCCTAGATGGGTGGCTGTCCCCAGCTAATAGAGTTATCTCTCCTAGATGGGTTGCTGTCCCAAGCTAATAGAGTTATCTCTCCTAGATGGGTTGCTGTCCCAAACTAATAGAGTTATCTCTCCTAGATGGGTTGCTGTCCCCAGCTAATAGAGTTATCTCTCTTGGGTGGGTTACTGTCCCCAGCTAATAGAGTTATCTCTCCTAGATGGGTTGCTGTCCCCAGCTAATAGAGTTATCTCTCCTAGATGGGTTGCTGTCCCCAGCTAATAGAGTTATCTCTCCTAGATGGGTTGCTGTCCCCAGCTAATAGAGTTATCTCTCCTAGATGGGTTGCTGTCCCCAGCTAATAGAGTTATCTCTCCTAGATGGGTTGCTGTCCCCAGCTAATAGAGTTATCTCTCTTGGATGGGTTGCTGTCCCCAGCTAATAGTTATCTCTCTTGGATGGGTTGCTGTCCCCAGCTAATAGAGTTATCTCTCTTGGATGGGTTGCTGTCCCCAGCTAATATTTATCCCTCCTAGATGGGTTGCTGTCCCCAGCTAATATTTATCCCTCCTAGATGGGTTGCTGTCCCCAGCTAATGAGTCTCATGGGACTTACTGAGTTACCAATCACACCCGCCCGACCACATCGTCTAGGAGTGACTGAGTTATTTTTGTCATTGTCACCAACTGATGATAAATTACTATACTGTGTACATTTATCCATCCTAAATAAATCCACTGTTGTAATATTCCTCAAGTAAATAATGTCAGTCTCATCTGTTTCTGTTTCACCTAGCCTGAGAGTGGGCCTCGAGTTATCTTTCTCTGCCTGAAGAACTCCATGACGGAGGAGGGAACACTGATGGAGAACTTGATCCACGAAGAGCTGGGTATAGAGACTGAAAACCAGTCGGAGATTGATGATGACCTCTTGACCATTTCGTCTGGCTCTTCAGATGATGGGCCCCACCGCAGAGCCAAGAAGTCTATTGCAGAATTGGTTGACAAATCAGTAAGAAACAATACAAGTTAAAATATGATAGATCTAAATAGACCAATCGTTAATAAACAAAATAACTTAGATTAAAAGCTAGACTAATGAGATTAGACAAGAAACAAAACAGATTTCTATTTGCTGCCACAAGACGGGTGTAAGAAGAGAAATATTCTAGACAGAAGTATGGATACTCTACTCAAACATAGAGGCATACATCCTAAGGCTCTAATTAGAAGAGGCCATTTTTGCATTCATTGTTTTCTTAATGTAAAAGTACTAGTCAATAGATGTAAGCATATGCTTTTATGTAAAGCAACAATTGGGTAGCCTGTGGCTAGCCACTTGTTCCCAACCAATAGTGGATATCCACAGGTTTCTTAAAATTGTGGATATCCATACATTTGTTAAAATGATGGATATCCATACATTTGTTAAAAGGATGGATATCCATACATTTGTTAAAATGATGGATATCCATACATTTGTTAAAAGGATGGATATCCATACATTTGTTAAAATGATGGATATCCATACATTTGTTAAAATGATGGATATCCATACATTTGTTAGAGTGCCAGGGATCTACAGAAGTCTTTTCTAGGGGCAGCAAATATCTCACCTGTTGATCATATTTGATATTTTAAATAATAGATGTGATTCACAAACAAGCCTTCCTGACACTACTTGACACCACATGACCACCTGACCCAAGCCCACTTGACACCACATGACACCACTTGCCACCCCCACATGACCACCTGACACCACCACATGACCACTTGACACCACATGCCACCACCACCTGACCACCTGACACCACCACATGACCACCTGACACCACCACATGACCACTTGACACCACATGCCACCACCACATGACCACCTGACACCACCACATGACCACCTGACACCACCACATGACCACCTGACACCACATGCCACCACCACCTGACACCACCACATGACCACCTGACACCACCACATGACCACTTGACACCACATGCCACCACCACCTGACACCACCACATGACCACCTGACACCACCACATGACCACCTGACACCACATGCCACCACCACCTGACCACCTGACACCACCACATGACCACCTGACACCACCACATGAGCACCTGACACCACCACATGACCACTTGACACCACGTGCCACCACCTGACACCACCACCTGACACCACATGTCCACCTGACACCACATGCCACCACCACATGACCACCTGACACCACATGATCACCTGACACCACATGCCACCACCACATGACCACCTGACACCACATGCCACCCCCACCTGACCACCTGACACCACATGATCACCTGACACCACATGCCACCCCCACATGACCATCTGACACCACATGACCACCTGACACCACATGCCACCACCTGACACGACATGCCACCACCTGACCATCAACTTTACCCCCCCAGGTCCTCTATCACCGCATGTTTGAGGCCAGCAGTACGGCTTGTTTGGAAGAGGAGAAAGAAAATATGAAGAAACGTTTCTCTACCTCCATCTAAAGCTGGTGCTGCATGTGTACCATTAACAAACCTCATCTATATAGTGTCAAATGTCATAACCATTAACAAACCTCATCTATATAGTGTCAACAAAATGTCATAACCATTAACAAACCTCATCTATATAGTGTCAAGAAAATGTCATAACCATTAACAAACCTCATCTATATAGTGTCAAATGTCATAACCATTAACAAACCTCATCTATATAGTGTCAAGAAAATATCTCATCTCATTCACTTATGGACCAACATGAAATCACCCACTCAATAAAACTAGGGTAAAGGGTTTTAATAGGAAAGATTAAGCTCTTCACACCAAAATATAGAAATAGAAAACAATATTAAAAAACTGAAGCATATAAGGTATCTTTTTCGATTCTTTTTGTGATGTCATTTTTTGTAAAAAAAAAGTATTAATACAATACGTTAAGAAATTATCAATTAATCTTTTACAACCGAGGTCTATGAACGCTGCAAGCCATATGGATGTCTTCCAAACAGTGCTAGTGGTGGTGCTGGTCTGACCAACAGAATTAGAATTATTTTTGTAACTTGTCCCTGCCATTATAAGAAACCATGGGTAGTGGGGTCCTTCAAGTTTGTCCTATCATAGTCCTACAGAACCCAGACAGTGGATACTTTGTTTCTCTATGTACTTATTAAATGTGTTCTCAAACCAGTTAAAACAAATAAACCGGGAGTGATCTCCCCTAAACTTTCTCGAATATTCTTATATAAAATAACAGGGGATGGGAACTCGGGCTAAAGACATGATTTTTAATCCATTTTAAATACTTAAAGTTTTAAAAATAGAATAAAATCTCGTAGACAAATTAATTGCACACCAAGTGAACGCGAAATAAAAAAGCGCATAATAGTGCGCAATATTATTATTACTTTTAAAATTTACATTAGTTTTTTGAGAAATCGGAAGTAGCGTAAAGTACTACTTCCAGTCAACGGAAATTACTCAAAATTTAATAGAAGGTAGAGAATTAGATCTTTTACTTACGTATGAAATTTCATTTATCTATCTGAAATAGTACTCAAGTTATAGGCTTTTGAAAAATTCAAAGTAGGAAAAGTACCACTTCCGGTTATCGGAAATCGCTCAAAAGTTGATACGGATCTACGATTTTGATTAAATACTTATATATGAAATTTCATCAACCTAGCTGTAACGGTACTCAAGTTATCGTGTTTACACACGGACACACACACACACAGACACACACAGACACACAGACATACGGACAAGATTGCAAAAATATGTTTTTCCGTATCAGTGAGATGCAAAACGTCGAGATTTGCAAAAATCTCGATTTTTTTTTTTGCACGATTACAAGACTTTCTCTATACTTCGTATATACGAGAAAGTAAAAAAATGAAAATGTCCAGACAAGCTACATAAGCAGTGTAGTATTCTAGCTACAATACAGTAAAACTCTTGAAAGTTTGGTGTATTGAACTGTACAGTGTAGTATTCAAACTACAATACAGTAAAACTCTTGAAAGTTTGGTGTATTGAACTGTAGTGTAGTATTCTAACTACAATACAGTAAAACTCTTGAAAGTTTGGTGTATTGAACTGTACATTGTAGTATTCTAACTACAAGACGGTAAAACTCTTGAAAGTTTGGTGTATTGAACTGTACATTGTAGTATTCTAACTACAATACAGTAACACTCTTGAAAGTTTGGTGTATTGAACTTCCTGACATTTGTTGTTTCTGGTCCATGATTAGGTGGGCTCAACATGTGAAATATGTTTAAACATGATGTTCACTTACAGAAACATCACAGTACTAAGTGAGATGAATGATGTTTACCTAGAACTATGATAAATCCGACACTTTCTTCACTACAAAAACACAGCTTTATTTTTGTTTCAAACAATTCTACATGTGAGCATTGTTTCTGTTGGCTAATAGCACCAACCTCTTCTTAAATGACAAAACAAACAATGTATGATTGTATAAACTGATAATAAAAAATGGGAAATAAAGTGGTTTTTAAACATGAATCTTTCAGTGTGGGACAACTGTAAAGTCAAAATAAAATAAAACAATGCCCAAGCTGCATCAAATAGCTTTGGCTTTAAACAAGAGCTTGTGAATGTTGATTAGTTTTAACTGAGTTTTTAATATCAAATGGAATTATTTTTAAAGTTAAGCAAAAATTCAATTGAGCAATCAAACAAAAAAGCTATCTATATATTTACTTAATTGTATTCCTACATAAACAAGCTATATCACATGTACTATAACAACAGAAGAGTTGTATACAAACTTGTATCCAGCCACAGTAAAATGTACAACTTGATATTAACATCTCTTTTGTAAACAAACTACTATATATTCAAGTCAACTGACACTTGTGAAAAGGCAAAAAAAATATGTAAATTTGAAAAACTAAACAAAATTACATAACAAAATTAGAATTTATATAATGTACAATTTTGTTTAGCTCTTCAAATTACAACAAGAAAATTAATTATAAAAAATAAAAATCACAACATTGTGTGTAATATCCTGGTAATTAATTTAAAAACAGATCAACTGTATAACAAAAGTTGGTAGCAAAAATCTTATGTATTATATTAATATCATAACCTAGGCAGCATATCCGTTTTTATGTGTTTAGCAATCTGTGTAATAGTAACAGACATTAAGAAATTGTTCTATTAAACTAGAGTGGTATGGAAGATAATAATCTGAAATAATATATGTGCACTCATCCGAAGTATTTCAAAGCCATATTTTTTTTTAGTAAAAACAAAAATTTCCAAAAACACCCAAAACCAAATAAGGTATTTATTTACCCAGATTATACAATCTTTTTTGTAAATAATTTTTTTTTTATCTCACTGCAACCATGTGACCATAGGGTTGACCAGGTGGGAAACTGGACAAAGCCAAATTTTATGAGCTCTCTTGTAAAGTTTCCTTGTCAAACAAATATTCACCAAGACCTGGTCCAGCTTTGGTCAACTGAGTTACGTAACTGGCAATCAGCTTAATGGAGTCCACCTGCTCTTCCAAGAATTCTTCCTCAACAAATTCATCAAGCTGGAAGAAATATTCAAGGGTGAAAATTTTTTTTAAAATAGGTGTCATGTTAAGGATAATCCATTGTTAAATTTAAAGCTAATTGATTGTTAACTTTAAAGCTAATTGATTGTTAACCTTATAGAGTTATTCATGGTTAACTTTAAGGCAAATTCATACTATTGCAAGGCTACAATCTATGGATATGTTTTATAAAGTAGGACACCCTTGTTAGACTCAGCTTTAGGAAAACATGTAGTGCTAATGGCAAGACAAGCTGTTAATACTAAAACAGGCTGTTAATACTAAAACAGGCTGTTAATACTAAAACAGGCTGTTAATACTAAAACAGGCTGTTAATACTAAAACAGGCTGTTAATACTAAAACAGACCTACTTTACTTCATCAGATCTGTCAAGATTCTAGGCTAACTATTGCAGTGGAAACTGTTAACTAAATTCTTATTATTGTGCTACATTGGGTCTAAAAAAAACTGATAACTAAATGTTTATGACTGTGGTGTAATTAGCTTAAAAAACCATCACTAAATTTTCACGAGTGTCCTAAGTTTTAACTTACATGTGTGTCATATTTTGTCTAACGCATGTGCTATGTTTAAACTTACATGTGTCATATTTTGTCTCATGCATGTGCTATGTTTCAACTTACATGTGTGTCATATTTTGTCTCACTGGTGTGCTATGTTTAAACTTACATGTGTCATATTTTGTCTCATGCATGCACTATGTTTCAACTTACATGTGTGTCATATTTTGTCTCATGCATGTGCTATGTTTCAACTTACATGTGTGTCATATTTTGTCTCAGCAAGTTTATGTAGGTCAAGCAATGCCTGGTTGATATTTTTTTCCAGCTTAAGTGCTGTGGTCATAGCGTCCAGTCCACTACCCCATTCATCATGATCAGGTTTCTGGAAAATTAAACTTACTTGTTACCACAGAAGGTACATAGAAACTATTTAATCAACACAGAAAAAATGGAACAATATCATTATGTGCTCCACTCTTAACCCGAAAGTGTTGAGTTTGGTATCCTTGCTCATGAGACAGCATGTATCTTAGCATCTTATTTAAACATTACAGTCAGCTGGCTTTACATTCCCAGACATGTTGACATCACCAAGGTCAGAGAGTTACAACCCACAGCATTATCTTATGATTCAGTTAAAGGCAAACAATAATTGCCATAAAATAGCTATAGTTAGTCTATAAAGTTTATAGAACAAATTAGATTAAAAAAAGTTAAAAAAGATTGAAATGTGACCTTGACATCCTGCAGGATGATTCTGCCACCTCGTTTGGTCTGATATTTCATGAACTTTTCAGCACGCTCTCGCCCTCTGTCTGAAAGCTTCTTGAAAAACTTGAAAAATCCAGGCAGAGCAACATCATCCCTCTCAAAATGAAAGGCCTATGGAAGATGTGTATTCACTCATCACATCAAACAGGTCACAAATGTCAGTGCAAATAACTTCATTAAAAACTTCTAATTGCAAAGTTGAATTGAGTTTTTTGTACATAATATGGAGTCAAAATGGAATGTACAAAAACTTGGGCTTGTTGATCTGCTTTCTAAAGCAGAGTTTCTCATACATCTCTTTTGCTGCAACTCCCCCCCCCCCCCACCCACATATATCAAAATGCCCCCTCCTTAGTTCTATTTTTTTTAAATAAATTTAGGGCCTACTAATAATATATATTAACATTTTCTACAGGCAGGAATTTTAGTTGGGGCCAAAGAGCTAAAAATTTAATTTATTAAAACTGTATAAATCATAGATTGTATGTGTTCCTAGAATGCCTAGATATGCCACTATATAATTATTAAAAACAGTAGGCATAGCTGCCTTCTTAGCCTAACAAAATACTAAATATTACTAAATATTATTCTTAGGGCCTAGATCTATATGATATATCTAGATCTAGGCCTATGCATAAGTATATAATATATAAAAATTATATATCTACGTTTTGATCTAACAGTCTAAAAGTAAAACACAACTAGGTCTAGATCTAGATCTATGTCTACAACTTGAAAAGGCAATTTAGCTGCAAACAGCTAGTAAAAACATGACAACAAAAACAAAATGTAACAAAGCAAGTAGATCTAATCTAGATCTAGATTCTAGATCTAGTAGTAGATCTAGATCTAGGCCCTAACTAACTAGGTAATAAGTAACTATGTAAAATTAAATTGTAAAATCTAACTAGAGTTACTCTGAGTTACACTACTAAAGTAGTAAAGTACATTGTTTCGTACATGTTAAAAGTTAAAAGACATTAAAAGTGCATTACTGAACATGTTTTTCTTACCATCGAAGAGTAAATATAACTCGCATTGAGCTCGGTGTTTATGTGCTTGTTAACTCCAGCCTCGCATTCTTCCAGATAATTTTGACGAGCTAGAGACATCTTAGCAAAATTTTAAATTAGACACAAGAGATCTGGATGTTAACTCAACTGTTCAACCTCTGGTTACTGCTGTTTGTAAAGGTCACAGGAGATCTGGCAACACTGTCAAGTTCAAGGTTAGGAAGCTTGGCTAAAAATAGATAGTAAACGTTCCAAAACATTGTCGAAAACAACCGAATTTTTTTATATACAAAAAAAAAAAAAAAAAAAAAAAAAAAAAGAAACACCAAATACGCTGCTCCATTCGTCAAAAAACTTGATAATTAGTTCAATTAAATTGGTTAATTACATTTTTAAAAAAACAACATCTATATATATAATTCTCTTCTGGGAGACATTAGAAAACAAGCTGCAAGCGTCTTGCAGTCCCCTCTCTTCCTCTCTATCACTACCACCCAACCTCCCCCCCCCCCCCCACATGGTCTGGTGAGTTGTGGTCACGCTAAATGTTTACAAACCGTAGAGACGGTTTTAGTGACGGTTATTAGGGGCAGATAATTTAGTTTGAAACGATTTTAAACTTAGGGGAGGTAACTAAGAGGAGGCTGCTTTCACGACGGGGTGGGGCAGGAGTTGGGGGAAAGGAGGGTGTTAGTGTTTTAAAGCAAATATTTTCAGTGGCAGCACTAGTACTGTCGAATTCACAAATTATGAATTATTGAAAAGTAGAAAAAAAAAACAACTAAATAGCGGCGTATGATACGCCGCGGGTCGGCTCGTATGTTTATATACTTTAAAATTGACAGCGTTATTTTTTTTCTTAACAATTATTGTAGCTAAGGGGGTCGTCCATAAATGACGTCACACTCGTAGGGGGGAGGGGGGGGGGGGTCCGTAATTTTGTGACGGTGTGTGATGACGGGGAGGGGGTGGGGTTCAGATGGTGCGACGTCACACTTTTGCATTATAAAAAAGCAATGTTAGAAAACGAATTTTAGACGTTATTTTGCGTTTTAGAAAACTGTTTAAAAAAATTGTAATAACAATTGATTAAAATACTCTATTTTGACAGAGTTCAGACAAGATTTTGGAAAAATATCGTTGTTTAATAAAAATTCAACTGCAATTTTGAGGGGGGGTTGTAGGCTGAGGTGTGACGTCATTTTAGGGGGGGTGGTCTGGCTTTTTGTGACGACGTGTGACGGAGGGGAGGGGGGGGGATAAAAATCGTTTAAAACAGCGTGACGTCATTTATGGATTACCCCTAATTTACATTGAAATATTTTTAATGTATAATCGGAGGGAGGGGGGGGGGTGTAAATAGATTAAAAAATCACTTGTTTCTAACCAATCGGATACATTTTTAGCACATATAGGGCAAAATGTTCTCGATTCGTATGAGATCCAAGTATTGAGCTATGGGGGGTGGTGCAAGAGTGCTTCGTCCAGCAACTCTATAAGGGTTAGCACATGGGTGCTTTGTCCAACCACTAGGGTTGGCACTTGGGTGCTTTGTCCAACCACTAGAGTTGGCACATGGGTGCTTTGTCCCAGAGGCGTAGCGAGGGGGGGGGCGGGGTGCAGACCGCACCGGGTGACACCATTTAGGGGGGTGACACCAAGGCAAAAAATAGTAAAATATATAGAGAAAAATTTGAGGGGGGGGGCATGTGAATCGAAAGCTTGAGGGGGGGGGGTGCAAATCGAAAGCTCGAGGGGGGTGCAAATTGAAAGTTCGAGGGGGGGGGGATGCAAATCGAAAGTTTGAGGGGGGTGCTAATCGTAAATTGAAATTTTGTCCCCGGGAAGAGTCGCTACGCCTCTGGGGGGGGGGGGGGTGACACCATTAAGTGCCGCACCGGGTGACACCCGACCTCGCTACGCCACTGCTTTGTCCAACGACTAGGGTTAGCACGAAGGTGCTTTGTCCAACCACTAAGAGATGGGGTCATACACGACCAATTCTTATCGCACAGCTACATCGTTTGCTACATATCCTAGATTGTGGTTTCCAACAGTGGCGAATGCATGTTGTGTTGTAGGGGGGGGGGACGTTTACCCCCCCCCCCCCCCACCACCACCCACACACACTAATGACAGCTGTCTTACCTTAAGTTACAGCTGTTGGAAACCGCCTCTGTCAGTTTTTTATTCTATCTCGTACAAACGATGGTGTGAGCTTGGTCAGGTGTCGACAAAACGCAAAAATGTATCAAGTGGAGTCCAATATTCGCACAAAACAATTAGATGCAAGCAGCAACGAGAATGACGATAACAGAAGGCAACAAAATCCTAGTTCTGTTGGTTGTAAAACACGTGACATGGTGACGTCACGTCGTGTCACCGTGTAGTAAACAAAACCACAGATGGAGAATTACTTCATAAAGCCGACCACCATGAGTGGCTACTGGAAGAAGGTCGCTGGTCAAGATTGATATCTCAAGTAGCAGACGTAGCCAGTTCTCGTCGGGATCGCCAGACGTCTACAGCAGACGATTTCCGCAATGGCTGACCCAAAGCATGGTGAGTAGAGCCTCAATCCATTGATACTAGGGACATTTTTTTTTTAAATTCTAGAAAACCACATTGTAAATCCAGTGATTACAAGTAACAATTTTGCAACATCTAGAGAATCACCCCGTTTTGTAATAAATATCTACAAAACAGTGTGGTTTTGTAATATTTAGAAAACCACATTGTTAAGCCATTAATTAATTATAAGTGACGTTTTAAAACATCTAGAAAACACCTTAATTTATTATTTTGATTAATTGACATAGATTTTCAGTGTTTGTTTAATATGAAGACCACGCCAAACCAAACTGAATGCTGCTAATTGACGACAACCAACACACATTTTGTTTGCTAACGGGAAAGCAGCCACTCCCCACCCCCCACCTCCACCTTCACGCCACAAAAGACATACTTTATTGCACTAACGTATTGCTGTTCCGATATATCTATCCTTGATTAATTAATCTTTACTTAATCAATATATAATCGTTCTTGCTCTGCATAATAACAGCATTTGTTCTACAGCTGGTCACTTAATTTTTAAATTACAAATATTAAATCAGCTTAAGATAAAATCACAAGAAATATTACATTTAGAACATTTCTAAATTATCAAAATAAGCATATTATTTCCGTTAATTAACTAATATAATTAAAATTATCAAAGTGATATTAGCCTAATTCATTCAGTGTTTGTGTTTCTACTGATAAAGAATCTTTGTAGTTTGACCGTTCAGGATTTTATTTTTAAAAACACTGAGACTGGTGCAGTTTTTAAAATAAAAGTAATGAAAACAAAGATTCAATTAATTTTTTAAACATGAGCTAAACGAACAGATGTACTCGTACTCTCTAGATATGCACGCACTGTTCAAAAAGTTTAAATTAACGAATATTACGTATTACGCGGCGTTGTAAGAAATGTTTTTACAATGTAATCATATTAATTAAATATCGAATTTCTCCATTTGTCAATGGCATTGAAATCAATAAGATAATCTCAGTTTTTCTTTAGTTGAAAAAATATCAGTTGCAGATCTAACAATAGTGGGCAGCAGAGCACTGTGAATGATTTTATCACAAGGGTAAAACTTGGGAGGATTTAATTATGTGAGTGAAAGACCGCATCAAATGTTGACGTATTTTTGTAAAGCAACGAATCAATAGCTTGGGTAGTCTAGTGGGGCACATGGAAGTCGGGATGATAAGAACATGGATTGTTTGGGCTCAGTGAAGAAATGGAGAAATTATAGGAGTCATGCTGTTAAAACCAGTTTGATAAAACATATCTAGCAACATGCTGGCCTTTATACATTTCAATATTCTAACCAATATAAGCATAGCCTGGTTAAAAATAAACATTAGAAACTCTGTAAGAGAGAATCAATCAAGTTTGAATCAATCAAAGATGAAGTGATAATTATTTCAGTTATGATTGAAGTCTTGTATAGTGATTTCATTATATTGATGGTAAACAATTAATTATAATTAATGAAGTAGGACAGCTTAGTAGATTAACACTAGTCATTTATAGGCCTATATTTATCCCTATACTAAAACACCCGACATTTCCTGCCCTAAAGGTTACGGTGACCTGAGCAGCCCGCCCCGCCCCCACCTGACCAGGAGCCGGAGCCACAGGGTCAGGGACCAGGGGCTGGCCGGGGCCCTGCGCATCGCCAACCTGGTCTCGGACCTCACCCACGTGATACGGGTGTCAGATGACCCGGAGAGGCTGAAGGACGTCATTCAGGGGGACGCTCTCAACCTACTGCGGGAGTGGTTGTCAGCCAACCCAACATCTTCTGCTGAGTGGTTGTCAGCCAACCCAACATCTTCTGGTGGAAGCAATCAGGTTCGAGTCTATGAATGATTGTATGAACGTTTACTGTCAGCATCCTACGCTCACTGAACGCATGAACTAAATTTAAAAACAATGTTCAAGTTTTGCATGCATTTTGGTCGATTCCTTGTAATTTATGCTAGTAAAAGTTTGGGATCCAGCTAATCAATTTTTCTTATTTACATTTACCAAGTGACCATGAGAAAAAAACCTATATTGTTTTGACTATTTGATTTTTTTTTTTTTTTTTTTGGTTTAGTAACCGGAAATTCTAAAAACAAAACAAAGTGCACCCAATTTGTAGAAAAGTTAACACGTTTTTATAATAACATTTTTAGTAACGTTGCACACGATTTTAAAAATGTTTAATGGTTACTTCCAACCCGTGTAATGCATTAAAAAAGTAACGTTCCCTTTTCCACCCTGACGGTCCATGGGGCAAGTAAGGTAGAGTTCACCTGTTTCTCTCATATGATGGAATAAAGTGGTAATCACTATGCCCAGCCGCCTTTACTCTCCCTTACGTGAGTCAAGTACTCACCACTACAGAGTTGGGTGGTTGGGTTGTTTCAGGGATGTTCTACTGACTTCAACCCGGCTTCTCAAGACTTTTGGGTTAGCATTCTATCGCTCTACCGCTAGGCCATGCATTAAGTCACTGGTAAAATGGTACTACTGAAATCCACAACTTAAGTACTATTTCGCCTTTTGTGCGCTTAAAATACGTTTTTATTTCCACGCTATATCATAACACTAACACTACTGACAAAGTTCACAGCAACCAAGTGCGTGGGTTGGGTGAGTTGTCAC